ATACGCTCATAGACTCACGGGGGTGGGGCTATCCACTGGAATGTAATCAATCTCCAGGAGCCACACCCCTAAAGAAAACTGTTTTCCCTCCCCTAGAAGCTGTCAGCTGTCAAGAGCTCTTCAGGGACTGGGTCTCGTGAGCTCTCCCCTCCCCTATCCATGCTAGATGTTGGCTGGCTTGATCTTGTGAGGATGTTTTTACAGGAAACTGCAGCTGCTGTAAGCCAAGCTTCTGTCCTCCAAAGGCACCTGCATATACATGGGGCACATGAACTCAGGATGGCATATATACACATAGACAGACAAGTACACACACATAGTCACTTGACTTTAGTGTTTTTTTTTCTTGCCTTCCTGTATGAGTGAGAATGGGTGACATTTGTCTTTCTGGATCCAGGTTACCCACTCTCAGTTGTCTGGTTCCATTCATTTACCTGCCTTTACTGTAAGTGGGTTGTTTCCTTAATGTTTCATGTTTTTAGTTCTTTGTGTATTCTAGACATGTCAACCTGGGTCCTTTGGAGCTGCTGTTGAGACAATTGTGAGTCATGGTGTAGGTGCTGGGAATGCAGCCCGGGTCTTCCACAACAGTAAGAGCAAAAAGGATGTCCCAAACATACCATTGCACTGCATCTCAGTAAGAACCCAGGTTGACACAATGATGGTGTTCAACTGAAATTTTAAAACACCAAAAAAAAAAAAAGTGACCCCCCACCCTTGCCCATTGAGCTTAAGAATTTGGTTCTTGAGCCTCAAGGGGACCAAATGCATAAATCCATTATCAGGTGTTATGGCATGGTTGTTTACTAAATTAATTTTCTGACACTATGGTTTTATATTGACCATTCACTATCAATATAAGATATTGTCCAAATTTATAGTAAGCAGTTAAACCAGTAATGAAGTTGTAAATATTATCTAAGGGCTTTCTGTTTCTTTCTCAGATGCGCGCCTCTTATTTCCTAAGCAACATTGCCATCTAGTGGCTTGTCTCATGTATTTCCCAGGGAAATTCTGGGTCACTGGTCTGGAGTTTCTCTAGGAAATCTAGCCCTTTGGATTTCTTCCAATTTTGGCCTCAGCTAGTTAGGGAGGGGAGGTCATGGCCATGCACTATTACATCTTTGGTTTCCAAACTTCAATGTCATTTTATATTACATTATCACCATCGACTATTCAATGGAGAAAGGTTGAATTTCAACCAAGAAACATTAAAAAGAACTGTCATTTCCATTTCTTATAGAATTGTTAACCCAGCCAAGCCTCTCAAATGTTGTCTCACTCAAAGTAGGATTACATGTGGCTCTTTCCTTAGACTCTACATTTCACCACTGAGATGTGTTAGGTAGTGGGAAATTAAATTGGGCTTTGAGAAAAAGAGGGGAAATGCTTCATTGTTCGTTAGAGAATGGGCTGAGTTCATTTCTGACAGCTTGGGGATCACCAATATTTTTCGAAGTAAAAGGCCAAACTTTTCTATTGGGTGTCTGAGGGAATTCCAGTCAAGGAAGGCCACCTGTGAAGTCTGATGTTCAAAAATCACTTTCCCTTATCTAGAATTTTCCTCTGGAGACAAGCAGAGTAATCACAAGCCTCCGTCACCCAGGTAACTTCTAGCTCCCTTTGGCATGTGACCATGACTATTCAGACGCACCCATTGGGACTCATAATCCTAGTTATGACTCCAACTTTCAAATACACATGCTGAACACAGACTTCTACAATGTAAGAGAATGAAAAAATACATATCTCAACAACAACAACAAAATTGTCCAAACAAGAAAATGTTGACCTTCTTTCTCCTCCTCCTCTTTTATTGACCATCTAAATGTATAGCTTATAATTTGCCATGTGTTTTAGGTATACATGCCGATAAAGATTAAATATATTCAATTTTCAGTAACTTACATATTTCCAGGTTAAGACAAATAGTTGAATACACTCAGAAGTTACTAGGTTAGCACAGCATTTTTCCGTTTAGAAAGTTCCGGGCAATACGTTGGGTCTATGCCATTCTGTTTGTGGGGTTACTAACACCTGGTCTTAGGCCAATATTTTCAAACCTGCCTGGTTTTTTTTTTGTGTGTGTGTGTGTGTGCTGGCTAGTTTTATCTCAAATTAACACAAGCTAGAGTCATCTGAAAGGAGGGAACCTCAATTGAGAAAATGCCTCCATAAGATCCAGCTGTAAGGCATTTTCTCAATTAGCGATCAATGGGGGAGGGCCCAGCCCGTGGTCGGTGGTGCTATCCCTGGGTTGGTGGTTCTGAGTTCTATAAGAAAGCAGGCCATGGCAGCAAGCCAGTAAGCAGCACCCCTCCATGGCCTCTGCATCAGCTCCTGCTTCCAGGTTCCTGCCGTGTTTGAGTTCCTGTCCTGACTTCCTTCAATGATGAACAGTGACATGGAAATGTAAGCCAGATAAACCCTTTTCTTCCCAAGTTGCTTTGGTCACAGTGTTTCATCACAGCAATGATCACCTAAGACCTGCTAATACAGATACCCCACAGACTCTTAGTAAGCTTGGTGGGAAACCCAAGAATGCATCTCTGATGTACATAACAGGTATTTTTGTCAAAATTTGGGAAATACTAGCTAATACATTCATTGAACTCAATGAGCTAAGAATAACTATAGTTAAGATTTATTGTACGTATAACTCACTTTTTAAATTTGTTGTTTTTAATAACCTAAATATTTAAAGTTGGAAATTATTTGAAAGTTCAGTAAAATTAATGCATTATATGAATCAGGACATACATGAATCTTCATGTGAAATGCCATTTGCTGTCTTCAATTCACTCCTACTTACTCTAAAGGTTAGGTACTGGCATTTAGGGGGAAATGGATTTGTATCAAAGAGATAAGAACAATTGAAACCCAGAGAAAGGGAGAAATTTGGAGCAAACCAGAGAGAAATTAGAAATGAAGACGTACAGACAGGGATTTTAAAGGAAAACATACATGCTGGATAAACTCTGGCATCAGCATTGGAAGTAGAGGGAATTTTATTTTATAATACAGCATTTATAATAGTTAATATATACTATATTATATAATATCATATATTATGTAACATATTATATACACACACATATATAGTAGAAAGCAAAAATAAGCATGTATAAAGAACACAAATAAAAGATTGCAGATTTGGGTCTTTTATTCAATGACTGGTATATCTTTCATTACTATAATAAAATACTAGAGGCAAGATGACTTTATTTTCTAAAAAGGTTTTATTATGACTCAAGGTCCTGGAAGTACAAGGTCTAAGGGACACATGGAGGGATGGCCTTCTTGCTAACAGAGTCCACAGATGGCACAGAGCACCAGGCAGCAGTAAATAGTGAGTATGGGTGTGTATGTATGTCTCTTCTGCAGCCACTGGGACTGAATCACGCCCCCACTTAGTGGCTCTATCGTCTAATACTAAACACATCCCCAAAGCCCCACTTCTAGGCCTCATAGAATTAAGATTTCACCCCCACAATGCCTCACGGTGGAAGTTAAATTTTAACAACCTTGCACTGCCACTTGTCACCAGAGCACTCACTGCTCCGTGACTAGACAGTGTGTTTAGTAGATGACATCACTCTGATAGGTCATTCACTTGTAAAAGTTAATACAATGGTTTTCAATGGTCAGCAGCATATTTAACTCTAAAAATGAAAAAAAAAATACATCTAAAGACAAGCATGTCCTGGAATGGGGTTTCTAAATTACCACCCTGTAAGAGTTCCATTAAAACTCTCTCCAACCACTGAAAGTCTTGCAATAGCCTGTAACACCCCAGCAAAAGCTTCTCGAATGATACCAAAGGAACCCTGGCCCATCCTACCACACACTCATGACCCACAGGGCTGGGCCCATGCTATTTTATGGCAGGGCTCTGGAACTTGTTCCCTGAACTAAAGAGACAGAAGTATCTTTAGAAATATAATGCCCTGGAGCCCCAGTGTCCCAACATAAGAAGTGAGTTGCTGACCTGATTTACAGTGTGACACTCAAGATCTTCTAGCCCTTGCCCAATTACTAAGTAGCCTTTCTAGTACATTTTACAGCATATTTTAGTACATCATTTCATTATAATTCCAGAAGCACTATAACCCAATTTGTAATTAAATCTGCAATATGCACACTTGCCACTCTCCTCTGTCACCCACCCAGGAGAAGGACAAGTATGTGCCCAGTTTTGATGGCTAATTGTTGGTGACACTCTGGAAAGTGTGTTCATGCTGACCTCTGCTGGACAGTTTTTCAAGTGTGAAACTGTCCGGTTACATCTCATTTGCAACGAGAAAGCTATTCGTACCATATTCTCAAGGCCTCTGCTCCTTCCAGCATTAAGGCTAACATGCCATTCTAAATTCCACTTATCCATATGGTTCCTGGGCTCATGGTTCCATGGTCTAACGCAGTTTATAAATTCTAGTTTAAAGTTCCAGAACATCTTACCCTTAGTTCCATGACTGGAATTTTTCAAAGCAATACCACTAAGAAATCTCCCACCAACTCCAGCCTTACAGGATGATGCTGGCCGCACTATGCCCACTACAGGACGTATGGTGTGCCTACAAAAGCAAATCGGAGTGATCATGCCCTGTAGTTTAAGATAAAATGGGTGGGGCAAACAGCTGCACTAGTGGGACATTCAAAGCCATGTCCTCTGAACTGCTTCTGCTTCTCACACGAGCTTAACAATGCCAGGAGTACAGATTCTAAAGTTGAGGTCTATTCTCTGGTGTATTTTACCACACTATTCTACCCTTCCCTTTCCGAACACCCTTTCTGCCCCCAACCTTGGGTGCGTGCGTGCGTGCGTGCGTGTGTGTGTGTGTGTGTGTGTGTGTGTGTGCACATGTTGAATGTGGAGGCTAGAAATCCATGTCAAGCGTCTTCCTCAATTTGCTTCCATCTTCTTTTTGAGATGATTCTCCCCGACGCCCCCCCCCCCGCCCCCCACCCCCGACCTGGGCTCACCTGTTTCTCTAGACTGGTGGACCAGGAGCTCCAGCAGCGGGCCTGTCTCTGGCTCAGCCTTTGGATCCTTGGTGCTAGATCCAAACTTGGAGTTTTATAATTGTACAACAGGCACTGAGCTGGCTGGGACATTCTCCCCAGCCACCCCACAGCTTTGTTCTATGTAGAGATACTTTGCCTGATAGTAGTTTTGAATCCTTCATGGGATCCATGTAGCATTTTCTTCGCTATATTTACTGGACCTTTCTCTCTGTGTGTTTTTCTTTTTGTTGGTTGAGACAAGGCCATCCTAAGCGGCTCAGGCTGCCCTAGAACTCACTAAATAGCACAAACTGGCCTTAAACTCTTGACAATCCTCCTGCCTTGGTCTCCCAAGTGCTGAGGTTACAGTTGTATACTACAAGCCCAGCTTTCAGTGGCTCCAAGTTCTTAGGTATTCACATCTGTTCTTTATGACCAGAAAATCACAAAGGAATACAGCTAAATGGGACATTAAACTCCATAAAGCCAACCCTTCTCCACATATATATCCTCAGCACTATAGGACAAATCCGGGAGATAGATATCTATATGTATATATGCATGTAAATGTATAATTTCCCCTTCAAAAAAAGTAAAGAACCAGTGCTGCGTACCAACAGAAGAAAATGAGACAGGGTCTCACCCTAAAGCAAAAGACATTGAAACAAGATTGTAGAATGCAGTGAACAAAAAAGTTCCTTATATACAAAGCCACAGACGCACCTAGCTATTGTGAGGAGCCACCGAAGTCACGTAAAGGGAAACAGCTAAGCGGGGTCCGCAGGGGCATCCCGAGCAGGCGAGAGGAGCTGTGATTAAGACAAAACAAATCCAGCCATTTGGCTCCCCCGTGGGCTGCAGCTTTCTCAGGGTCAAGCCAGCCGGGGCAGGCTACGGTCAGTATTTACTTGATGAATGTGTGACCGTGGTTCACGATCATGGATTAGTGAAGGTGGGGGGCACCACGGAACCTGAGAATCTGGAAAGAGGACATGTCAGAGTACAGCACTCTACTGTGGCTTTATTAGATGCTGAGCAACAACACAGAAACCCACATGGACCCAGAGTGCGAAACAAGAGCTTTCCAGCCTCCCACACCCAGATGCCATGAGGACAGGCTAGCCTCCTCCGGGATCGAGGACACCTTCCAAAAGATGCTCTGCACTATTTGGCTTTCTCTGCATGGGAGCTCAAATCAGAACCTTGAGAGAAGGAAAGTGACTTGATAGGATTGAGAGCAAATAACTGGACTGCTGTTTCCAAATTACATGACACATAGGGCTTTAGGGGGAAAAGAAAAAAAAATTAAGATACAGAGGCATCCTCAATACTTAGTAAGATCTTAAGAAAGGCCTTTTGCCATGAACTGTGGACGGGTGGCTGTGGAGCCCCCATGGGTCTGGACTAGGCCCTCTGGATACGGAAGATGGTTGTTTGGCTCGAACTGTTTGGGGGGCACTCAGGCAGGGGGATCGGGATCTGTCTCTGGTCTATGGGTAGGCTTCTGGAATCTGGTGCCTGTGGTGTGACACCTTGCGCAGCCTTGGTGCAGTGGGGAAGGGGCTTGGACCTGCCTAGGCTCAGTGTGCTGGGCTCTGCTGACTCCCCATGGGAGACCTTGATTTGGGGGATGTGGGGTTGCAGGGTGGCTTGGGAAAGAGGGCTGGGGGGGGTGGGAGGAGGAAGGAGGGGGATCTGTGGATAGTATGTGGAGTCAGTAGAAAATTTCTTAATAAAGAAAAATGAAAAGAATATTGTTTTGATGGTTAGTTAAAAAATAAAGGTTGGTTTGGAATTTTAATGTTCATTTAAAAAAAAGAAAGGCCTCTTGTCACACAACACAAGTGACAATTGCAGTTTTATCACACAATTGGTCATTCAGGAATGCTGTCGCTAAGTTGGATAAGCCTGGCTTTTAGCTGAAATGTAATTTTCTGAGAGGCCCACCATCTCAGAAAGTCACGCCCAAGGGTGGCAAGGTGCCTCCCATTGCTGATGTTCAGTCATAGCCGGTGACGTCACAGGCAGACGCCAGGAAAATTCAGCACAGCTAGAGGAGTAAGTGTGGGGGTGGTCAGCTCTACATTTAACACACGCATTAAAACTCTGAAGCGGTCCTAGTTGTGAGACAAACGGCAGATGATGAACACGGATCTCAAGCTGATGTCTAACCACAGCGCTGCTCTATAGGAAGCCCTCTCACGGGCCCCATTCTGGGGCATCTTTTATTACTCAACATTAACCTATCTGTAATAAGGTGCCAGTGTATGAGCCGTTTCGTTCATTAGCTGATTAAGCTTGATTGTTAATCAATTGTTAGTTGATTAAATTTGTTGATTGATTGTGTATCTTGCAAGAAAACGTGTAAAGGGGGGAATATGGAGGAGTTAGTTCTGGTACCTGTATACAAAAACAGAAAGAAAGAAAAAGAAGGGAAGGAAGGAAGGAAGGAAGGAAGGAAAGAAGGAAGGAAGAAAGAAGGAAGGAAGAAAGGAAGGAAGGAAGGAAGGAAGGAAGGAAGGAAGGAAGGAAGGAAGGAAGGAAGGAAGGAAAATGGGAAACAGAAAACCCAGTAGCTTTGACATTCAGCCAAAGTACAAAGAGAGAAGCAAGCTAACTGTTCTATCCCTTGAAAGTAATATCTTCTTATGGTCTACATTTTCCCTGATGTGAGTGGTGCTGGGATGAACTTCCCAGCCTGAGGCTACAGATGCTTTGGAAACCTTGAAAGGGGATCAGAAGACTGAACCCACGGTTTCAGGGCTAAAAGCTGATGCTAACAATGAGAGCATGTATGACTGATCCGCAAAGAAAAGCACTTGTCCTTCTTTTGGGACTCGGCTGGATAATGGCTTCTACTTTCACTCCTAGGGTTGCTCTGAAAGAGCCCAGTACTTTGGGAGGGAAGTCCATTCCTTCGTAATGGACTTCATTCAAATGAATGTGATCCTATATGCCTATGTCCTTGTTTTTATGAAACTGATGGAATTTGTTCCTACAAAATAAAAGGAGCGGCTATGTTACCCAGAGTTACAAAGGCACTGAGCCAAAGCATTGAACTCTCTGTGCGGAGTGATACACAGAATTGCCTTTTCATTTCATGTTAAGTGAGGTCGGAGGCAGACAAGTCAGGTAGGTGGAGGCACTGAAGAAGCTGGCTGTTCCAGTGGACTGTGGCAAACAAACGTGGCTGGTGGTTTTAGTATCCTAGGGAGAAACACAAACAGCTTGTTACTATGGCCAAGTTTTTGCACATTCTTCCGAGGTGTCTAAATACAAAGGGACGTAGCAGTTCAATCTCTCCATGGAGGTTGCTTTTCTGTAAACCATGAGACCAGCTCAGGCACCATCGATGAGAGGGCCCAGAAATGAAATAAACAGTGTGAACTGGAGAAGAAAAATATTCCCCAAGAATAATCATTTTGCTCCAAAATGTGGCATAATGCGGAGGCTGTCTAAAAAGTAGAAAGCCTGCTCCATTTTGACTGTCCCACTTACTTGGCAATGTACATCTTATTGGAGAAGGACTCCGACTCCGAGACATCTGAAAACAGAAAAGAGTGTGGTGAATTGAACAACATACAGTGCTCAGAGAATGAAACACCTGGACATAAGTAATTCCTAAAACTAGCCAGGGTTACTGGAGAGCTGGCTCAGCAGTTAAGAGCACTGGCTGCTCTTCCAGAGGACCCAGGTTCAATTCCCAGCACCCACATGGTGGCTCACAACCATCTACGGTGGGCTCGGATGCCCTCTTCTGTCATGCAGGCATACATGCAGATAGAGCACCATATACATAAAATAAATAAATAAATCTTTAAAAAAAAAGAAAGAGAAAGTAGCAAATTGCTCTTAAAAAGGAAAGAAAAAAGAACAGGTTTCTAAGAGATAACAACAAAACATAACAAAATAAAACATAATAAGATAAAACAAAAACTAGCCAGTTAGTTGCTCTGAGATACCACATCACATGAGTCTGCCTAGCTTTTTAAGTAAATGCACATCTAATAAATAATATTGGTGATTGGAAGTTGGGTTCAATGGTTTAAGAGAAGAGAAAAAAATTAACATAATTAGTAAGAGCTAAAATTATGACAGATTCAATGGCTTAATGGGAGAGAAATTTTTTAAACATAATTAACTAATAAGAGCTAAAATTATGGCATTAGCTCCAAGACTCTTTATAAAAGTTCTCATGTGTCCAAACCCTGCCCTACTAAGGAAGGTCTGAGCATCCATAAAAGAAGGATTTTCAAATCTTACCATTACCTTTTCTAAGAAGAAACTACCATACTGTGCCTTCACGTCTGATACCAGCTACAAGCCTGTTTTCTGTTGGGAACTCTAAAACAGGTTAGGTAACTAGATACTGTCCAAGGTGGAATCCGTTCTGTGGGAATCATGGCCTGAGTTAAGCCTAAAAGACAGACCAACCAAAGAGTTTACATTTCATCTTGGAGGTGTTATCTGTGTTGGAGGGAAACAGAGATGGGCAGAGAAGGGAAGCTAGCTCAGTTTCATCTTTGAGGATGTGTTTTATGTCTTCATCTACACTTGAGTCTATGTTGCTCTCCCTGAGCATAGAATGATAAAGAGAAGCGGGTTCAAACACGTCTCAGGACTCAGTGCAGGGGACACTCCTCTTGGATAAAACTTCTACTAAATCAAGAGTCCAAATCTCCAGGGCTGGAGAACCATCTACTAATACTAGTCTCAACTACTCTCCCCTCTGACACACCATTTCCTCTTGGGATAGGGAGACATCCCATCATGATGCTCCCAAGGTTCCCTTTTTATCCATCAGGTCACTAAATGCATGGTCCTCTTTTTTACCTACTGTACATATTTATTCATTAATGTAATTCAGTTTTATAAAATCCCCAAGAGCAAAAGGACTATGTACATTGTGGGTCTTTTCCACTTCCCTGGCAATTCTTACGTAGTTTTCTTCCTATGTGACATCTGACCATTCTGAAAAGCCAATCAAGTCCCAGCTTCCATGCTGTTTCCTCACCACCTCTAGGTGTTTACATTATAGACTACATCACACCACATCACCCATGGACCTCTTAACTTGATCTGCATCGTGATCATCCAGCTAAGTTGTTCAAAGTACACTGATCTTCCTCTATGGTGACCCATTCGCGCGGAGAAGACCGCATCTGGTTATTTTTGCATCCCTCCCATCTGGCCTTTGAGTTCTGTTTGAGAAGGAGCCTATTGAAGGAATAGTGGGTGCTTGCTAAACTCAGAGATGATGGTGGGTCTGAGTAATTATAGAGCTGTTCTGCAGAGGAAGCTCTGCCACCGCATTGCCTGAGACAGGTGGGAGATGTGAGGTATTCCGACCTGCAGTCCTTCACTGCTCTGTCCTTGAGAACATGGTCAAACACACATAGGAAGAATCTCCAGCTGAAGAAATGGTAGATCCATAGCCTGTCTTTCTTGGTCCAGCCCCACATTCAACAGATATTGACTAAGTGTTATTTGGTGAGTAAGTGGACAGGGATGAGTCATTGTGATGTAAATAGTGAGAGTTTTCAGAAATATTTTTTTAAAGATTTATTTATTTATTACAAATACAGAAGAGGGTGCCGGATCTCATTACAGATGGTTGTGAGCCACCATGTGGGTGCTGGGAATTGAATTCAGGACCTCTGGAAGAGCAGTCGGTGCTCCTAACCTCTGAGCCATCTCTCCAGCCCTCAGAAATATTTTGTTATTTCTTAATTTAAATAGATTAGTAATCTTTCCAAGGATTAATATACAAAGAAACTAATTTTATCTTTTCTACTGATTTTGGGGACAAAGTAATACTTTCACTGCCCTTTAGAGAGTACTTCAATCTAGACTCTTTAAGTAATCCCTCCAAATTCATGTATTAATTTCTGGAAAAAACAAAAAACAGGGACCTGTGTTCAGATCTGTGACTCAAATGTCCCATGTCCAACTGTCCGTTCCCTAACAGCCTCTTCAAGGTTGCAAAGAATACAGCTTTTAAATAGGTAAAGTCTTTCATTCCTTGAAAGACCTCAACAGGAAAACTGAAAAGACAAGCAAGCACTTCCATCTCTTTCTAGGACACTAAGTTTCTTAGCCATCGTGGTATAAAAAAACAAAACAACACAAAACAAAGACACACAGGGTTTGTATCAGAGCAACAGCTTTTCTTACTACCTACAGATTGGCCATCACCCCTTTCACAGGAAAGTATCAACATAGAAGGTTTTCTGCATGAATGACTAGACAGGAATGTACCGTGCTTAATCCAACGTGGTTACGAGGACAGATGGGACTTAAACTCCTGCTGCGGCAGCGTGTTATAGGTCGCACAGAACTCCACTAAAAGGAGAAAGAGAGACAGAGGAGTCATGAGTTTGTTAGAGCAGACGCGGCTTCCCACAGGCTCAACTGACAGGACAGATTTTCCCCTTGTCACCAGTGTGAGCAACACTCCTATTATTTCCTACCACACAGTATGTGGCAAGAACTCCTCCAGTAAAGCCCCATTATAACAAACTTGAGGGTGTTCCCGTTCTGGTGCTTGGAGGAGTGTTTTCATGAGTAAACTGTTAGTCCTCGCGTTTGGCTTTGGGATTCATGGCTGGCTGGTTGCTCACTTTAAGTATCTACCATGTAAATGCAGCACCGAGGTCATATAGACCACAGAAAAAAGAAATCTCACTGAACACAATAAAAGGCCTCTGCAGGGCCAGCTACTAAGTCCATATGAAGAAAATTATACACCAAATTCATGGTAGATGTGCTGCTTTAATTGTGTGTCCATAAAAAGGGGCAAACGTAAGTGTGCTTGTGAGAGAGGGGATCAATAGACAATCACTCTTTGACATGATCATAAAGATTGTGACTGAGTCACCTCCCTCCTTCCAAACTACACTCCATTAGTAAAAATTTCCTAACAGGGAGTTGTAAGGGCAAGAATACTGTGTTATGAAAATGTTCACTGTAGAGCTCATGTGTTGTCAAGGGGACAAAAGCCAATTTTGATAAGCTCAGCTTTTGAAACACAAAACACTTTTATGGAGGTAGTTTTCACTACAATGGGATTTTAACTTGTAACACAAACACCAATATTCTATGTTTTTGTTTGTTTGTTTGTTTGTTTAATAAGCTTCTCTATTCCCCTACTATGTGTAGCCTCAAAGCACCTCCCCTCTCACCCAGTTCAGAAAACAGGGACCAGAACCACCACCTCAGCTCTGGACCAAGGGACCCCCTTCAGCATTCACCTGGTTCTGTCTGGGAAAGGATGAGGTAAATAATACATCATGGTATATGCATATCCAAAGTCCCTGTGACCATGGATCCCAGCACACAAACTCCACACTCTCACACACACACACACACACACACACACACACACACACACACACACACACACACTAAAGACTCCATTTGGAAGGCTATTCAACTTTTTTTTTTTTTTTTTTTTTTTTTTTTTTTGGTTTTTCGAGACAGGGTTTCTCTGTGTAGCTTTGCGCCTTTCCTGGAACTCACTTGGTAGTCCAGGCTGGCCTCGAACTCACAGAGATCCGCCTGGCTCTGCCTCCCGAGTGCTGGGATTAAAGGCGTGCGCCACCACCGCCCGGCCTATTCAACTTTTTAAGATAGTCAAACCATCTATAACCAAGAGTTGCTACATAGGAAACAATCCTTCCAAAGCCAAATGGCTCCTTTCTCCCCACCTTCTCTGCCCCGTTTTATTCCATCCTTCCCTTCCCTATACATCATACCAAGGAAAGAAAAACAGGATACATGCATAATTTCCCCAAACGGAGAAATGTCAAAATATCTCTAAGATGGAAGAGATAAATAAGTAACGGCTAACTCCATCTTTAGACAGAAGAGCAGCAATGAATTCATTGCCGGGGAATTGCAAAGAATTGTGGGACATTCCAAACAACAGACAGCTGTTTTTCTTTCTCCTTCGTATGAAATTTTATCAAACAACTCTATCAACTTCTTTTATAGAATCTTTGGGTTTATAAATGTTCTCGAACTTGTGAATCAAACACTGGGGATGAATTGTCACTATGCAAGGCCACCGTACAAAAGCCCCTCTCTTGGTGACAGCTTCTCCCTTCATAATGACACAGTCATTCTCCATGAGAGCAGGCCACACGTGATAAAAGACCAAGGGAGCAGTGAAATCCGAGTCATAGCTGCGGCGGTACCTGTGGGAATGCACAAGAGAACAGAGTAAGAAATCTCAATGAATGTTTCAGGTTATTTCAACTTCTTCTGATTTATTAGTGGAATATTCACCGTGTGAAATTTGGTAGAATCTAATACTTCTAAACGGGAGTCCAGCATGTCAGTGTGCATGGAGTGTGCCTGGTGTTTGTGAACTGCAGCCTCCCAAACCCCATGCTGGAACCACTGCAGCAAACAGCACACACTGTGGTACAGATGTGTGCGTCCCTAAGAAATGCCTGGACTGCTTCTGAGGTTGGTGGTGCACACACCACACTTTGAGAGACCTGGCCTAAATCACGCAATAAGAACCAGTGCCTCTGAGCATCAACCTCTGGCCTCCACAGGGAGTGTCCCTCTGCACACATGTGCACACACGTTCATACACCACACACAATAAAAATAACAAAATTAATCTTTAAAACTGTGTTTGTGTTCACAGAATACATTTTTTTTTTTAACTACCAATGTTCCAGCCAGGCTCCAGGCAACTCCTTAGGTCTCCCCAAAGCTAATATGGTCAGTGAAGAATGAGCCCAAGAGGGGGTTCGGATGATGGTACAGAGAAACTCAAGGCATGGGAGTGGCTACTGATTTCTCTACCAGGGTTCTCTCCCCTTCGTCTTCCTGGGGAGCAGAGACAGTGAGCATCTTTCAGCGCCTGCTCCTATGTATCTTACTTGCAATCATTAAAGACTTCTCCATCGGCCCCAAACGCGATATCAAGTGGTGGATCCAAGGACTGCATTGCAAAGGCAATGCAGCATATCTCCTGGATGAAGTCGTGGAGGAGGCAGAAGTCAACTTCAGGAGGGAAGGAGATCTTGGGGTTGACGTTCATGGCGCGGATCACATCCTGAAAAGCAAAAGATGGCATCAGTTGGCTGCCAACTTGTGACAAGAAGCTCCGACATCCAGAGGATTCCCGACACCAATTATGACTGATGGGAGATGGGAAAGAGCATGTGAACTAAAATAAGTTAATCCAGGACAGGGGGTAGGTGTGCTACGAGGAGAAGGATGCTGCCGCTTCCTAGTTGGGGAAGAAGAGAGAAGACAGCAGAAACAAACTGAAAGCAAGAAAAATCCCTCTTAAAAACTAAAGGAAGAGGCTCATGGTATTTATAAGTTCATGGGGGGGGGGGAAGTACATGTTCATATGGGTGTGTGCACACATGAATGCAGGTACATGGGGAGTCCACAGGTCAACGACGGATGTCTTCCTCTATTGTTCTCAATCTTATTTTTTGAGACAGGGTCTCTCACAAACTTGGAGCACATTGATTTAGGTAAGCTGTCAGGCCAGTCAATGAGTCCCAGAGATCTGCCAGTCTCTGATCCCTCGTGCTGGGGTTACAGACGTGTGCCACCTCACCCAGATTTTATGTGTGTGCCTGGGGTCTGAACTCAGGTCTTCATGCTTCCACGGCAGGCATTTTACCAAATGAGCCATCTTCCCTCCTGATTTTTTTTCTATGAGATGCCAGCCAAAGTAGGTTGCTTTTATTAAGTGTTTACTATGCACCAAGTCTTGTGCTAGACAAATGGCCCACCTCCTTTCATTGACCTGACCCAGGAACTCTGTGGGATAATGATCTCTGATGCTCCCTTTCAGAGACTGGAAAAAAAAACAGAGTACTGGGAGTTTCAATGAATGTGGAAAGCAACACAGCAGTCACGTGGCAACGTCAAGGTCATTTTCCAGAGTCCTTGCTCTTAAGAACTAAAATACTGGGGCTGGAGAGATGGCTCAGAGGTTAAGAGCACTGACTGTTCTTCCAGAGGTCCTGAGTTCAATTCCCGGCACCCACATGGTGGCTCACAACCATCTGTAACGAGATCCGGTGCCCTCTTCTGGCCAGCAGTCATACATGCTGTACACATAATAAATAAATCTTAAAAAAAAAAAGAACTAAAATACTTCAACTCCCAATCTCAAAGACCCCTTTAAAATCACCCCTAAAGGATGTGATTATAAAGCTCAGAACTTTTCCCCATGTCTGAGTAAGAAACTAAGGAGATGGCTAGAGCATAAAGCATCCACCACAAGCATAAAAACTGCCTTGAAATCCCAGCACCCACATAAATTCAAGGTCTGTCTTAGCACTAAAGTGGCAGAGACTGTAGGTTCTCTGGGCAACCTGGCTGGCTAAATCACCCAAATTGGCAAACTCAACAAAGGACCTTGCGTTTGTAATTACAGAGTGATCAAGAGGCATATCCAGTGTCAATTTCTGGCCTCCACAAATGTGTGCACACCCTCCCAGACACATGCAACACACACACACACACACACACACACACACACACACACACACACACCACTCTTGCATGCAAAAAAGAAAAGCTGCCAGTAAGGACCGGTTCTGTAAGGCAGATTGAATGTTGTTCTTCTCTTCCCCCACATAGACATAACACCAAACATACAGACGGATTCCTAAGTTATCGGTCTTCGGTATGTCATCACCAGCCACACGCTAGCCCTCCAAAGAGACTCAACACTTACATTAACACTGCTTTGCGAGTCATAGAGATCAAGATGGCAGATGATGTAGTCCATAACCGTGCTCTCAAAGTCATTTGAGCCCACGTGCGACGGGGTCAGCATCTTCCTTACCCGGATCTTGAAGTGCCTGAACGCCATTTTAGCTACGTGAAATGCCTCCTGCACATGAAAACACAGCAAGTTTATCTGATGAGGAGAGGAGATGAGAAGGTCCAAAGAAAGAAATTAGGAAGAATTCAGAAGGCAACATCGAACCAGTGTTCAGATAACTAAGCACAGTTGGCCAAACACGGTTTTGACTTAGGACATAGTACGACTCTCAGTTTTAAAACATGTAGAAATGTACATGATAACACATTAATTTTAAGACAAGTAAGCCTTGTGTTGGTAACTCTGAGTGCCAAAAGCAAGACAATGCAGACCCAGGGACGGAAGTTCCGGTGCTGTGGGCACACAGCAATGCCATGATACTGGCCAACATGTTAAGAGAAAACAACCTGTCCCAGGTTTCTATTACAAACTCAATAAAACTTTATCCCATACCTGTTATGCATGTATGTATTGGTTTCTCAAGCTTTACCCAAATCACTTTAACCACATCACAAAACACCTTTAACCAAATCACTGAGTTACAAGCCAGGGCCTGAGAAGCTTTCCTTATAAAGAACCAAATGGTAAACGCTTTAGGCTTCACTGGCTACCACTTCTGTCACTGACTGTTTTTTTTATCATACCCCCTTTAAAAGTATAAAACCATTCTTCGTTCTTAGCTCCTGCGCAGTGTTGTAGGAACAAGCCAGATGTGGCCCATACACATAGTTAGCTGACCTTTGACATAACTGAATAGATCCAGAATTTCTGATCTGTCTGCTCTCGCCTTAACATGATGTTTCTGTTTCTTCATGTTCATTCTGATAATGGGGTCTCAAGGTGGCATCCACCCACAGGACACATATATTCACTTTGAAAACCGAGGATTATATTCACATATCTGTTTAATCTGCAGCACTCAAATAGCTAAAGCATTGGCAGCTTTAGTAACTCATAAATCACTTAGGCGGAGGAGTGCACGATCTCATCCTCTAGTTTTCTAAGGCTGGCAGAAGACCAATAGTTAATCATCATTTACAGCAAAAGCCCTACTATGTGCTCGTGTAGTCACATCCCACAAAAGGTACACTATCAATTTAACATGGTGCCGTTTGAGATGGTCCTGGCTTGAGTGACGGACACTGCAATAAATGTCCGGCCAACATAAATGTTAATATGTGTGACCGTTCACAGTCGTGAAAAATGAATAGCTCCCAAATATCTATAATGAAAGAATGGGGGGGGGGGGGGAGACGGGACAGATGTGGAGTTAACTTCAGGATGCACCAGCCTTTTAAGGTTGCATGATTCACTTTGTGATCGATCTCCCACTGCCCCCAAGGACCCGAAGTCCAGTGCAGATGTCGCATTTACCACTGTGGCGATGTAAATGATCCGCTGCACCGTCTCCGCTCTGTCCAGGCAGCGCCGCAGCAAACACTGCGCGTCCAGGCGGGCCTGGGAATAGGCGTCGCTGAAGCGGGACAGGAGAGCAGCTTTGCGGGCCACGCTGGATATTTTGGACCGGTTTGGGGACGGGCTTCTGATCTTGGCCACTGTGGTGCAGGGGCTGTTGGACCGGCTGCGGCTGCGGCTTCGGCTGCGGCTAGGGCTAGGAGACCGGCTCCTGGTTGACCTGCGGGTGAACGAGAATCCGCTGGGCAAAACTGTGATTCCCTCTTCCCTTGTTCTTGGACTTCCTGAACTCTTATTCTTCTGTGTGGGGACACAGCGAATGACACACCAGCACCATACAACCTCTCACATGTGGGCAGGCAGGGGGAAGGTCTGTGGGGATGGTCTCTCCACTAGGGGGAGGCATTTTTTAATCTCCAAAGGCCCCCAGAAATGGGAAAAAATACCCCCTATTTACCTAGTGAATTAGAATTCACAATTCATGAATGCCTCAATTTATATTTTCAGTCACCCTGGGTCTCCAGCTTTGACAACTAACTATTTCACTAAGCGGGAACCGGAAGCCCTCAAGGTGAGGGCTGGAGTTAGCATACAAGTCAGAGATGCTGGAGTTTCTTAAAACTGAGCTTGGAGTACTAACACAGCATCCAAGTGCTTCCCGGGACCTTGTCATTGAAACTGGACTGCTATCAAGCGCGAAGTAAACTATTAGATATCAGACCAGTCAGCCCCAAGGCAATGAGGCTCCAAAGAGAAGTCTTACAGAAAGCACTATACAAGGAGCAGGATAAAGCAGTCATCCAGTCAGCAGACTCTGAGTGGAGACCGCCTCCTTCCTTGCTAGTGTTGCCAGTTCCCATGGTGCATAGACTTCCACCATCCCCACTGACGGTTCAGTGCCAGCCAGTATCAGTACAGCAGAGGAAAGCTTCCACAAAACAAGACTCAGGAAACATCTAGGCAAACTGAGGGTCAGGAACCAGGGCTTCAGTAACCTCAATCGGGAGACGCCAGAGGGGAGGGGACTAGAATAAGTAAGGAAATGCAGCGTTGGAGACACAACTGCTTTGCTTCACTTAATGCTGTCCTCCTCATCTGCCCCATCGTGTGGAGTGGGAGGGGTTTCCCGAAAACCACCTACACACGGCCATCAACAGAGTGAGAGAGAAAAGAGGAAACTCCAGCCAGGTGTGGTGGCTCACAACTGGAGGCCCATCACTCAAGATGTTGAAGCAGGAGGATTGCAAATCTCAAGCCACCTTGGACTGTACAGTGAACCGCAGGCCAATCTTGGCTACAAAATGCGAGTGTGGCTCGGGGCTGGGGGGGGGGGAGTAATGCAGTGGAATGAACAATCATCTCCAGTCCCTGGACACAGGACTCTCCGGGAAAGATCTTCAGCTTATGGAACATTCTTTCAACTTGTATTAACCATTGAAGAGCCAGCTCACACAAGCCTGGTTTCCAGGCCAAGACACCACTTTCATCCTCTCGGCCATTCTTCCTGGATAGAAGGGTGCAGTTCTAGAAAATAACCCTTTTACGAACCGAACCGAAGCTTCCCAGGCCACTGGGGCTTGGATTTCACTCTGTTGTCCTCTCTCTACTATCCAGGCTGTTGCTACTAACTCGGGGGGGGGGGGGGATGAAAAGCAAATGAAGGGATCTGTGAGAGTTTTTCAGACCTTCCCTGGAGACCGGCTTTTTCAGCAGACAAGACAGCTATCTCATCCTTCAGATTTTGGAGCTGTTTCCCATAGTCTGACATCACCTCTTGGCTCCGTGGCTCTGAGGTCCGCGCATCTGACGTCCGTTTGCTTGAAACTCGACGGTCAGACTTGGAAGCCTCAGAGCGCCGACTGTCTGAGTGTCTGTGGCGGGTTTCTTCCTGGGCTTGAAGAGATTTAAGTCTAACAACAAAGGAAAAGAAATGGGGGTGAGAAAGAAAGGAAACAGGACAGAAAAAAGGAAACACTTTTTTAAGAGGTAGGGAAGGGCATAGAGGAGGAGGAAGAAAAGGGAGTGGAAAAGAAGGAAGGAAGGAAGGAAGGGAGGGAGGGAGGGAGGGAGGGAGGGAGGGAGAAGGGAGGAAGGAAGGAAGGAAAGGAGGGAGAGAGGGAGGGAGGGAGGGAGGGAGAAGGGAGGGAGGAAGGAAGGAAGGAAGGAAGGAAGGAAGGAAGGAAGGAAGGAAGAAGAAAACAACTGGTACCATTCACATGCCATTATTGTGCAGGGAAACACCCAAGGAAATAGATGTGAAGACATACAATAAGTAAAGAACAAAACCACAGAGATAAGGATTCAGCCCACTTCTACAGGTCACAGGTGGGAAGCTTCCTGAAGAAAGGCTATTAACATGGGTCCCCCGGGGGGAAGTAGAGTGCTTTACAACTGGACTCATCTTCATTGTACAAAACTCCAAAAACACTGAACCTTCAAAACTTAGTCCAACACCGGTATGACCCCCCTACCCTCACTAGCTCATTTGTTGGACAGACAGTATGAAGGAAGACAGTAGAAGGCTAGCTGGAGGTAGGGACTTCTAAAAACAACGCAGCACTAAAATAAAATAATAAAATAAAAAACGTTACACATAAAACCGACACCCTCATTAAGCTCCAAAGAGGTGTGACCACAGTAAAACAGAAGCAAAAGCCCTGAGAACCTGTGGTGATGAAAACAACACCAGTTGAAGGGAAAGAAAGGAGGAAAGGCTGCTTAGGATGTCGTGAAGCCAGGAGCACCGAAGGAAGCAAAGGCGCACTAGAAACGGCAGAAGACAGCTGGGTAATCTCACCCGGGAACTCAAGGTGGTGTACCAACCAGGACGTAAGAGATCCAAATGAGGGAGGAGAAGAAAGACGTAGAAAACGTAACAGCATCCTGAGAAGCCTCAGGAATGTTCTAGAAGAAATTAACACTAAAATAAACATGGAAACTAAATCAAGCTAAAGTGTATGTGAAAAGTATGTGTGTTTTGCAGTGTGCATATGTGTACATGTAAAATATACTTGGGGGAAGGCTGGGACTTCAAACTTAAGAGAAGACAAAGGACCTGTGTTCACTGTTTCCCTTTAGAAACAATCATTAGGAACTAGTCTGAAGTCTAAATCAAGATTTAACAAAAGTTTCCCTCTACGTTGCATCCAGAATTAAATGTTAATATCCAAGTTAGTGCTCAACATGAAGGAAATTCTAAAACAATTTAAGATGATGGACCTATTTGAAACTAACTTCTGCATTACTTTTTTCCTTGATGATTAAAAAAAATATATATAAAATGAAAAGGTGGACTTCCAAACCTTATAGCCTTCAGTGTGCTCTTTGTGGTTTCAACATATTAACTGGAACAAAGAGCAGGTGGTAACAAACAGTAAGTACTACTAGAAAGAGGAGAGGTTTTTAGGTTCCTGGACACTATGCTACATTTTAGAAATTGCCTGTAGTCAGTAAGAAACTCCTATAGTGGAAAAAAAAGAAACTAAACATTCATAAAAATGCTGCTGCCCTTCCTCCTTCATGGTGAATTCTCACATTGTCGTAAATGACTGAAAAGCTAGACTCAGTGACTCGGCAGCAGCTGCAGGAACTCTATGGGTTGTTTTATTTTCTTACTGCTTTTTTAGCTGATTTATCTCCTCCTCTGCAGCCATGAGGGATATGGTTGATCTGCTCTTGGTTCCATCAAGACTCTTTCCAGTGTCAGCCAGACTGTAAGAGAAATCAGTAACTAAAACCAGATTTTCCCAAATTGCCAGACTTTCCAACTCAAGGTGTCGATTTTCTAGGGAACTCCTGACCTGAGTTATACATTCACCCTAAACAACATCAGATTCTCAGCCCTCAGGCATATCATATTGTAGACATTACGATGGACTCAAACAGAAACACGCCAGTGTCCCTTGCTTAGTCAAATGCAGAGAGATTACAGAGCTAGTCCCTAAAAGATAGCTATCAACATCAGATGGTAAATGATAAAGAAACTCAGTTCCTCCTGCTCAGTCCTCTTACATCATCGACCTTTTCTATCCAGTCTCCAGGTCGCCTCTCTATGTAAGCTCTCAATTTTCCAATGGGTACCAATTCCTGTTCTCAATGCTTTTCACTACGGGCCTTCATTTCTTTTTCTAGTACTTTTTCAACATAAAAAAAATAGTTATTCGTCCATAGTGGACGAATTAACCATGATTAATTATGGTTACCAACTTGATTCTGTTAAGAAACATCGTGGCAAAGTACGTGTTTGGAGGTATGTCTATGGGGATGTTTTCAGAGACGATTGACTGGAGATAGGAAGGATAACTTCTAATGGAGTCAGAAGCATCCCATGGGCTGACTAATTGGGGGCGGGGGACAGCCACTGAAGGCCAGCATTCTCCTGTCCTGTCTCTACTTCCTGATCCGTGAAGATATGAGCAAGCAGCCTCCAAATGCCTCCAATGCCTTGTCCCTCCATCCACGCCTTCCTCTCTGTAATGGATTATACCCCCAAACCATGAGCCAATACAAAGGTTTCTCTCCTGAGTTTTATCTTTTCAGGTATGCTGGTTAGATTTATGTCAGCTTGACACAAGCCAGAGTCATTTAGGAAGACAGAACTTCAATTGAGCAAATACCCCCACCAGACTGGCCTATGGGTAAGCTGGTGATGCCTTTTGATCGTTGATTGCTCTCTGAGGGCCCAGCTCACTGTGGGCAGTGCCACCTTAGTTAGGAAGCCCTAGGTGCTATAGAAAGCAGGCTGGGCAAGCTATAGGGAGCAAGCCAGTAAGCAGCACTACTCCATGGCCTCTGCATCAGTTCTTGTCTTCAAGTAACCTGCTGTGAGTTCCTGCCCTGACTTAACTGGATGATGAACTACAAGTTGTAACATTAAATAAACCCTTCCCTCCCCAAGCTGATTTTGGCCATGATGTTTTATGACACAGTAATAGAAACCCTACCTAAGACATCAGATTTTTACTCACAGCATTGAGGAACGTAACTAAACCAAAAATTGGTCCTAAAAAGTGGAGTCAGTGCTGTGACTCCCTGACCAAGAGGCTGGTGCAACCGGTTTGTGGAAATAATAGGAGGCTGCAACTGCAGGCTGGAGAAAGCTCTAGAATGCTGTGATCGGAGCTCAGTAGATCTCCGGGAGGATCTCTGAGAACAGAACGGAGATATGAACAGTGTGAACTGGAGAAGCATGGACAGCATCAGCTCACAAGGTCTGAGACTAACAGAACTTCGCTGGGAATTGGACTAGGAACCACTCACGTCATCCTGGCAAAGAGTCTGGCTGCATTCTGCCCACGGCCTGAGGTGGAATTTGAAAACAGTGCATCCTTTGTTTGGCAGAGGAAATTTCAGGACAACATAATGTCCAGATTGTAGATTGTGGTGTGGTTATTGCTCACCACATTTCCCAGATTTACAGTGAGAGTGAGCGGCGGATCATAAAGACGGAAAAAGGCGCAGTTTGCTGAAGAACCATGTGAACCTGGACACGGCTGCAAACAGAAGTGTGCGGTTTAGTGGGGGCGGGGGGGAGAGAACTTGGACCCAGTTCAAGTTGAAGACCAGGCAGGTAGAGATTAAACACATTAGCAGCATTAAAGAGAAACTTTGAATGTTGCATGGGGATGATACAAAAGTTGTGTAGAAGACAAGATCCCAACCAACAATGGTTCCTGGGTCTGTTAATGCTAATTCGTTTGAAGGGAGAGTGTTTGACAAGATAGGGCCTTCAAGGTACTCCACAGAAAAACAGCTAGATGAGAAAGTATTTTCCTGGCTTCAGCTGAGAAATCACACAGGTCGCTGCACTATGGTCCAAGGGTGCTGGGCTGCATCTCAAGGTGGTGGGAGAACTTTGCATTAGCCATATGGTGCTGTTTTTGCAGGCATGCAAGATGCAAGGATGAAGGCGGCATGGAGATAAGATACCAAGGATCCAGAACACTAATGAGAGCAGGTGATGTGTATCAAGGTTGCTTAGCCTGTGTGAAGTTACCAAGTACACTGTGCACAAAACTGTGAGAGTGCTCCTTATATTTCAGTGAAGACCCCAGAACATTTAGAGACACCAGAAAAATGGGGCTACCCCTAAAGCCACTGGAGCCTAGATAATTCCACAAAGACCCCCCAGATGCTACACATGGAGCCTTGGGATGTGGTTTTGAATTGCTAGGTCAGTCTTGCTCTGCTCTGATCTCTCTTTTCTATGCTTCAGTTCATACCTTTAAGGAATTGATATGTTTACTGTGTCACTGTATATTAAAAGTGCAGAACTTACTCTTCTGTTTTATATGGGCTAATAGGGTTCCTTGAATCTCAGAGAAGACTTTGAACTTGGGTTTCTGAACAGTTCTAGAACTCTTAAGACTTCAGGAACTCCTCAAGATGAACTAAATGCATTCTGCACTTGGAGATCTGCCTGAGGCTATAGGAGCCAAGACATACGATTATGGTTTAAAGCGGTGTGCTTGGGTGTCAGGCTGACTACGGTTGCTTTTTAAAGTTCTCTTTTTATACCGTGTGTACTCATGCATGCCACAGTGCACATTGTGGAGGTCAAAAGACAGCTTGTGAGAGTCATTTCTGTCCTTCCAGGCATGGAACTTAGGTCATCAGGCTTGACAGAAAACACCCTTTAACCACTGAACTATCTCGCCAGCCTCGTGACAGCTGATCCTGATGTCAACTTAATAGGCCGAGAAGCATCTAAGGTATCCGTGAGGCACTTCTTTAGGATCTTGTCTGAAAAGGAGCTTCCATGGAGGATTAACTGAGAGAGAAAGACATTCTCTAGTATGGGCAGCAACATCAAATACGTCTGAGGAAACTGGGAAAAGGAAGAAAGTCAGCACAATACCAAGAGTCCCCTTTCTCTTCAATCTCCCAGTATGTGAGCAAGCAGCCTCCTGATGCCACAGGCAGGAGCTGGTCCTGCTACCATGGGTTCCCTGCCACAGTGGACTATGTGGCCTGAACTGCCTTGCCTCCCTTATATTGCTTTTCATTAGATATTTGGACACAGCATTGAGAAAAGTAGTTCATACACCTATCTCATGACTTTGTGCACCTGATTTTCACTACTTACTAAGCACAATTTTCCAAATACCTTCGTCAAAATTAGTATCCAGGACCCTCTTAACTTGGATCAAGACACATCATCTTTCTCTCTCTAGAGAATTTAAATTTAGTGAGTGGAGGTGAGATGGACAACACTGGATGAAGGCCCCAATGGAGCTACCCTGGTATGGGGAGACATCGCAGGTTCCCCAAGGATCCATGACATCTGTGACTTTCCTTTCATGATATATCTAGGCTGTCTCATCACAGTAGTCCTGAGTCTATAGAGTATGAGTCTTTTAGTGAAAAAATAGTAGAGGGTAAAACATTGAGATCCTGTTACGGTTTGAATCTTCAGTGTGTGCCCAGAACTCAAGTGTGCCAGGCTTGGTGCCTGGTTGTAAATGCTAATGGGAACACGTGGAACCCACTTGGCAGATACAGTACACTGGAGCAGGGCCTTCAAGGGGACAGAGAGACTGCCCCTTCTCTCTTCACTGCCCAGCCAGTATGAAGCTATGTGTTTTACTTCACTGTGCACTCCCTGCCATGATATTCTGCCTCAACTGTCCCAAAGTGAAGAGACCCAGAGATCGTGATCTCTGAAACCTTGAGCCAAAAAGCCATTTCTCCTTTTAAGTTCTAGATCTCGGGTATTTTGACACAGCACTGGAAATCTGACAAACGCAGATCTTCACCTAGAGGATGAAGCAGACTGGAAAATAAGGGGATGAAGAATCCCTACCAACCTCACATAACTAGGCGGTCAGTCACTACCTACACCGTGACCCCATGTCCACCTCCTACCACGCCACTCTACATGCCGCCGGACACACACACCTTCATGCTCAGCGCCCCCTCTTCCACTGAGTGCCGTTCACATTTATCTCCTATTCATACCACAAGCTACAAACTGTATCATTCCTCTTTACCCTCAGCCCTTAAAGCAGTGCTTAACACACGGATCTTTGTGAAAGATGAAACATGATATGAATGAATAAATAAAGTGTCTACAGTCTAAAAGAGTGCTGGAGTAGACATGACTTAATATGGTTGTTGCGAGTTGAAAGAAAATTAGTTTGTTCTAATAAAATTTGAATCTATTACAGATTTTAAAGGTAAATGTGGAAGAGTGAGGTTTTTTTAATCAAGAGACAACTGAAGAAAATCAACAGTAGCAAAAAAAAATGGAAAAGTACAAGACAAGAGGGAAGGGTACAGACAGAGATGAGGAAGTACATCCCCTCCTTGCACACAGCATGAGCGTGTATATGCACAAGCGTACACATGCCAACACAGGACTGATTTCACACGTGAAGAATAGGTAAGAGCTAGAGATGCAGTTCTAAACTAGAAGCTGTTTTAGTCAGGTTAAAATATATTCTATTTAAATGTTTGGTGATGGATTGATTTGATTCTCTGAGCAAATTTCTGATACAGGACACACAGACTCCATCATTTGGGAGATCTTAAATAAAAGCACAATAAGAGCCAAACAGGTGTTAGACAAAACTAACCAAAATAAGAACATGGCAGCAAGTGTCTCCACGTGAGCATGAAGGCCTCTGGAGGGAAAACAAGTCACTCAGAAGTAATAAAGTATATGAGACACATGACATGAAAGGGTAGGTAGGTGTTGTGGGCACTAGTCTTACAAATTTCTATCCTTGAAGCATTTTCCAAAGAAAAACCTTTTTATAAAAAATATGTGTTCACCAATGTGGTGATATGAATAAGAGAAGCCCCCATAGGCTCGTATATTTGAATGCTTAGGCATGAGGGAGTGGCACCACTTAGAAGGATTAGGATGTGTGGCAGTTTGGAGTAGGTGTGACCTTCATGGAGAAAATGCGTCACTGGGGTTGGGCTTTGAGGTTTTAAAAGCCCAAGCCAGACCCAATGTCTCTCTCTTCCTGCTGCCTACAGATCTGGATATAGAACTCTCAGCTACTTCTCCAGCAACATGTCTGCCTGCACACCACCATGCTTCCCACCATGATAACTGTAGTAGAATATTTTAAGGTGTGTTACTTTTGTTTATGTTGCATTTGTTTAACTCTATGAAGCTGTGTCAATGTGCCTGTCTAAAACACCTGATGGTCTAATAACTGAATGGTCAATAGCAAGGCAGGAGAAGGGATAGGTAGGGCTGCCAGGCAGAGAGTGTAAAGAAAGGGAGAAATCTGGGAGAAGGGAGAGAAGGAGGAGAGAAGAGATCCAGAAGGAATCAGCCACCCAGCTACACAGTGAGCCATGGAGTAAGAGTAAGATTTATAGATGATAGAGAAAGACATCATGGGGATAGAGAGAAACCTGGTGCTAGAGAAGTTGCCAGGAATCCCCAAGGATGACCCCAGCCTGGGCTACCAGCAATAGTGGAGAGGATGCCTGAACTGAACTGGCTTGCCCCAGAGATCAGACCGGTGAATACCCTAACTGTCATCACAGAACTTTTCTCCAATGACTGATGGAAGCAGATGCAGAGATCCACAATCAATCACTAGACAGAGCTCCAGGAGTCCGATCAAAGAGAGAGAAGAGGGATTCTATGAGCAAGTGCATTAGGATAGTGATGGGGAGAAATGCAGGGACAACCAAACCAAACTAGAGGGAACTCATGAAAATCGGATCAATGGCTGTGGAGCTGCATGGGACTGGACTAGGTCCTCTTCATGGTGAGACAATTGTGTAGCTTGATCTGTTTGGGGGGGGGGGACTGGCAGTAGGATCAGAATTCATATGGTGCATGAGCAGGCTTTGTGGAGCCCACTACCTATGATGGGACACATCCTGCAGCCTTGAGGCAGGTGGAAGGACTTGGACTTGCCTCTACTGAAGGTGCCTCCCATGGGAGGCCTTGCCTTCTTGAGGGTAAGTTGGGAGGGAGAGGCTGGGGGGGGGCAGGAGGAGGGAAGAGGGGGATCTTTGATTGGTGTGTAAAATGAATGAAAAAAATTCTTAATGAAAAAAAAAGAAAAACTTTAAAAAATAAAATAAAATAAAAGGAAGTTAGAGAATGGGAAAAGCCCAGAGACAAAAGGTAGATGGAATAAGTTAAGGAAAGCTGTCAAGAAACTAAGCCAAGCTAAGGTTGGGAATTCATAAGTAATAATAAGCCTCTGTGTGTGGTTTATTTGGGAGCTGGGTGGCGGGCCCTCAAAAAAAAAGAGTAAAAAAAAAACAAACAAACAACAACTAATGGTACCCAACATGGGGCTCGAATATCCATCTAGAGCTAAGAAAGCTGAACAACAACAGATGATAATGGACTAAACTTCTGAAACTGTAAGCAAGACCCAATTAAATGCTTTCAATGATAAGTGTTACAATGGTCGTGGTCTCGTCACAGCAAGAGAACACTGACTAAGACAACCAAGATTCCTGGTTCTTATTATCCCTTAAGAACCATGTGACACACAAAAGGGAAGCAGGAAATTCTGGCCCCATTTGTGCTGGCAGACATCAAAATGCAACAAATTCTCAAAGCTTTCCTTTATAACTAGAGAAACCAGAGAGTCCTCACCTCTTCCCTTGAAAGCTAATGTTCCAGGAAACTGAACCAGATAAACCCTGACTCAGAACTCACCGGCCTAAGACACTAGTGCCCAGAGAGAACCAAGGCCAGCAAAGACCACAGGGCAGTGTAAGACCTCAAGTGACTCATCTTTGGGATGTCTAAGAATAGAGCCAGGAAAGAATCCCACAAGAAGCAAATCAACTGGAAAGGGAAATGGCTCTTGGAATTTAGTAGACACTTTCCACAAAGAAGTCTACGAAAAAATGAGGTACGCTCACTAAGAAGTGGTATACAGAAAGATCAGCTAGCATGAGCTGAAACACATTAGAGTCTTTTAGAGGAACTCGGTGTTTGTGTGTGTACATTTGGCTACTGCTGCTCTGTAACTGCTGCATAGGTGTATGTAGAGGTACAAGCACACACGAAGTGTGTCTGGAGAAAAGTATGTCAAAATGTTGACATTGGGAGCCAACATGACTTCCACCTTTACATTTATATTTCTATGTATTTGAGAAGGAAAATTGTATTGTTCTTATTATCAAGCAAAACAGAAGATTTTCCATGTAGAGATTAAAAAAGAAAATTCCACCGGAGAACAAGACAGAGTCACAAACTATTCCATCCCTGACTTCCTCACTGTCCTGTCCATAGTAGGAATGGTATGGGTGATAGGGTTTGAGTTGTTGTTTGTTTGTTTGCTTGCTAGGTTACTTTTAATTAAGCATGTTGAATGGTGTCCCATATAAATTGCCTGTCTTCCTCAAGTTCAGATCCAAAGCCTGAAATTTCTTTGCAGTGATTCCAGAAGCTTAACCTGACTGCTATTCCTGTTGCCTGACATTGTCTAACCTTTCAATATACACATATTAAATTTAACACATATATAACATATATTATTAGTATAATATATTATATATGACATATATAATAGCTAGTTATTTCAAAATCTGGACTAAGTTTGCAATTATCTTAGTAAGATAAAAATGCTTCCCTAAAAAAGGATAATAGATAGATACTGTAGGTCTGGACAGCGTCTAGAAGGTAAGTCACATGTGTCGTGGCATATGCCTTTATGCCATTAATTCTATCTCTCTGGAGGCAGAGGTAAGTGGATCTCTGTGAGTTCCCGACCAGCCATGGTCTACATCTTGTAAAAAAAAAAAGAAAAAAAAAAGAAAAAAGAAAAGAAAGAAAGGAAGGAAGGAAGGAAGACCATTGGAACATAAGCCTCTGGGCATGCCTATGAGGGATTATCTAGGTTAGGGTAGTTGAAGCCGGAAGCAGCAGCCTAACCTGCCAGACTGAACAGAAAGGGAAAAGAGCCGAACCTAGCATTCATCACTCTCTGCCCCTTGACTAGACGCAATGTGAGCAGCTGCTTTGTGATTCAGCCTCTATGCCTTCTTCTCCATGATGGAATCTATTTCCTCAAAATAAACCCTTTGTCCCTTAAGCTGCCTCTTATTAGATCCTCTGTCTCAGCACCAAGAGCAGTAACTAATACAGGTGTCCCTGCTCTACCTCTTATTCTCAGTTTCCCTCTTCAGCTCATCTCTCACCCTGCTTCATCCTTCTTCTTCTACACATTCTCTGATGACTAACAGAGCCAATGCTCTTTATTTCAAATATGAGCTGTTGAGGGAGCAACAGAGCCAGAGGTGAAGAACCAAGGGTCATAGAATGTAGATATCCAGGCCCCAACTCAGTCACTAAGTTCCCGTGCACCTTCTGCTCCTCCTCCTTTTCCATCCCCCTCTCCTCCTCCCTTACACACACACACACACACACACACACACACACACACACACACACACACACACACAGAAATTTGCAAATCCCTACATTTTTCATGACCCATTATTCTCTTTCCAAACTTAAAAAGTAATTAACTGTAGAACAATTCTGCTTGAAAAAAAGATAACTTGCATTCCTCTTACTCGTCTTGAACCTGGTTTTGTTGGCGGTCTGGGCTGAAGTCACTGTCTAATGGCTGTTGGTCCTGTTCCCGCACGTTACGGTCTTTGTTTCTATCTCTAAGATACGTGACCTGGAAAGAAAAAAAAAAGTAATATGGACATGGAAAATAATATGGACAGATGACAAAAACATTGTGCTAAGCAAAAGAAGCCACACACAAGAGAGCGTGACTCTACACCAGGAGCCCTCAATCCCAGACGACAGAAACCAGAACAGCAGCTACTCTGAACATAGCACAAACAGGCTGGGAGGGTGGTGATGGTTTGTGTGTCAGTGCAGGAATGAATTTTGTGTGTTTGTTCCTGGTTCAAAACTCCTCTGCTGTGGGCTTCACGGTAAATTACAATATAAATTAATTACAATATAAATTACAACTTGATTTTAAGGGAAGACTTTAAAACATCATCCTGCATCGTCTCTGCTCCCAGAATAAAAAGACTTAAAGCATAATCCTAACCTGAATAACACCCACAGGAAGTAAAACTCTAACCAGCATATATCCTCAAAGAACATTAATGGCAAGTGTCATCTCTAGCTGGAGAGAGATCTTACCGGGTGCTAGGCTCTCTGCAAAACTGTTATGGTTTTTTTTTATACCTACCACATTTTAAAAATCAGGATCCTACCATTAAATTGGCAAACTTATTGTCCCCATGTGACCAACAAGTATATGAAAACAAAAGTTTACAGCTTCCCTAGGGTCTGCAGAGAGTACGGGTTTCTGTCCAGTTTGGTTCTCACCTAAGTAGAAACCCTTCAGCTGCTGTTTCCTGCTCACAACAGCCCACTCTAACTATGACCATTCTTATAAGGAATCTATGCAAAGCCATTTAAACTTTTGGAAGTAAAACTACTGGCAGCCATGGTATATAATATGGCTACACTGTGTCCCTCAAGAGTACATGGATTGGAAGCCTGGGCCCTGGTGTGTGCAAGTGACAGGGAGGGACTGATGGGAGAAGCCGTTAGAGCATGGAAAACCAGAAGAGCCTGGCTAGTTCTCAAGAGAGTTATGATGAAGGAGCAAGCTTGGCTCCTCCCCATGTTCTGGCTTCCTGTCCGGCCGTGTGATGTGTGATCATCCCCTTACATATGCCCACCAACGTAATGCTGTCTCCTGCGGGATCCCCACTGGAGTCTGCACCATGGTGTTTGGGCTTTCAAATCCTAAAAGTGTAAAGTATGTATACTTGTTTATTAGTTGTGACAACAGGATGCCTTATATGGTGCATCCTGTCTTTCCAGGTTGGGTTCCAACTGTCTAGATGCCGACACTGACTTGTGGAAGTTAAGTAAGGACACTCTTTGCTTAATTTTCCTATCTTGGAAGTTCCAATTTTTTTAATGCTGCATCATCCTTGAGCATCCTTACCTGCAGAGAGGAGTCCTTGTTCTCCATAAGTTTTGTCACATTTACAGAACTGAAAGAAGTCTCCAGCAAAGGCAGAAGGCGACCCTTGATTGTTTCCACACCCTCATTATGTCCTCCTAAGAGAATATACAAGGTAGATCAGCAGGACTGGGGAAAGATCTTAGCCAGAGGATGCACACACACACACATACACACACACACACACACACACACACACACACACACACACACACACATACACATTACATACACACATACATACATACACATATACACACATTACATACATACACATACACACACATACACACACATTACATACACACATGCATACATACATATACACATTACATACACACATACATACATACACATGCACACACATACACACACATTACATACATACACATACACACATATTACATACACACATACATACATACATATACACATTACATACACACATACATACATACACATACACACACATTACATACATACACATACACACATACATACACACACATATACACACACACATTACATACACATACACACACATTACATATACATACACACACATACATACACACATTGCATACACATACACACACACAAATATATATATATAGAGAGAGAGAGAGAGCAAACAGGGAAGGGGAGGGTGGGAGGGTGGGAGGAAGAAGCTGCTCTCACCTTCTTGGGCTGTCACTGTGAGGATCCCAAAGAGCTGTGCTTGTACTTTGGCGACTTCTTCGATGAGCCCGATGCAATAATTTAGATTTTCATCACAGGTGTTGGTCTGTAATGTCAAAACAGAAGACACCCGGTCAATTCCCACTTTCAGGAACCCACTGCAGATAGACATGAGCCTGTGTGATCCAGGGGCTACCAGGCTCTGACAGAGATTGCTGGGCACCCCCAAAATCTATGCCTCTGGGCACACAGCTGGGATTGAGCCGTTTGACCCAGGTGACCCTGTGATTGAGTTTAAGTCATGGTCTGGGAAGTGGTATACACCATGACCAGGCCTGGCAGAGAAAATCTCTTGGGCAATCCTGTGAAATCTCTAAGAGGAAAGGGGAGTATGGAGCCACAAGACCCCCAAAGCTGTTGACTTGATAAACACTGGCACTCAACTGATAAACGGCTGAGGAAGCTGTTGTGTGGGTGTTTAAGCCATTGAAGTTTAAGGAGCTGCTTTCACAGGAATGACGCTACTCAGTAGAATCCAGAAAGGGAAAAAAAAAATCCCCTTATGAACTGAAGAGACTTTTTACACCCCCAATACACATTGCTGCCTCATTTATCCACTTTAACATTCATCTTGTACATACAATTCAGTTTTGAACATTCTATGTGCCGAGTTTACAACTCCTTTAACAGCAGGGAGGGATTGTGCTGGGTGCCAGATACAGGGTGGGGAACAAGACAAAAGGAGGCCTGTGTCCACTAGATAGATGACGGGAGGGAGGGAGGGAGGGAGAGAGGATGAGAAGCATCAAGTCCACTGAAGAGTTGCTGTCTTGAAATATTGGGGGAGGTTCTAAAGCCTGAGAAGAAATTCAGTCAGCTAGGTGGTTTGCGGGAAAGAGATGGCCCTACTGGATGTGGAACCCTTTCGGTGATGAGAATGAAACACTTGAAGGTCACGTGGGCCTCTTGCCTTTTATTCTGCTTTGGTCATTATTTAACGTTCAAAGCTACACCTTGAACTGATTCCAACACTGAAAGAAGGGGCAGAACTATGAACAAGCAATAAATCCCATGGGTGTAAACTACATAGATGTCGGGACTATGTGCGAGTTACCCAACCTTGCTGACTAGGCCCATTTCCCATCTCATACTGCAGGAATGATAATATCATGCAAAGTGTTAGGAAAAAGTTCCTAAGCCAACTTACCCAGCCCTTCAAGAAACAGATGGCAGCTGTGAGGTGGTACGTAGGAGTGATCGGGACTTAGGAATCAGGGAGCTCTGGGTTCAAATCCCATTCTCCACTAGTTAGATAAATTCTTTTATGAAAGACATTTAAATGAGATGCTCTGTGTCCTCAGATTTAGGAAGCAATTGACTTTTTGAGCTAACAAAAGCACAGATTCTAAATTAGAAGTGTGTCTGTGGTTTTCCACTGCCTACTTCTACACCTTGTCTGGTATCCTAAGGAGCGTTTGTGTAGACAACACAAATAGCCAAACAGGCTATCTCAAGGCATGTCACAGCATGCCCAGCTCCCCACACAAAGCACTGCACACGACGCTTGAGTTATAATAGGATCACATTACCTGATTAGCCCCATCATCTAATAAACAGAGAAAAGATAGGAACTAAATGTACTCTGTCCAGAGCGCAGTCTCCAGATTCATCCATTCATAAGTCCCGGACTTCCTAGTCTATATAGGGCCTTGGATTGGCAGCCCCCATGCCGAAGCTGCTTTTAAATGAAATGTTTTGACTGTTATGGAAGAGCTCAGCTGGGGAAAAAGGAGAATGAGAAGCAAATGGTCTATAAATGACTATCCCAGACTACATCAAGTGTTCTGTGTGGGAAGTAAGCGAGAGGCTGAACAAAACAAGCTCCAGGTCGGGGTGGGGGAGAGAGCCGGGGAGGGGAGAAGAAGGGGAAAGAAGAGAAGGGGAAGTGGGGAGAGGGGACGGCATTTCAAGAGAAGGACCCATAAGCAGCAACAGCAGGCACATCTGGAGAACGTGCCTCCTTCATCCAAAGACCCAAAGGAAAGCCTCAGCCTGCCACGAGAAGGGTTCTGGCTTGATCCACGTGTGACGACACCAACAGAGCAAGCAAGGTCAGGTCACTTGACAAGATCAGTGGTGCTCCTCACCTTACAGAACTCTTTTTAGGACAGATCATGTAGAGGTTACATCAGAGAGTGACTCTGGAAGAGAGGTAGAAGATGCAGGGGTGAGGGGTGGTAGAAGAGTAAGTCTGAAGGGGAGTGGATGAAGGATGTGGATATCCCAAGGGTCCCCATCATTAATCACCCCTACATCAGCCAAGATCCCATTGATGTCAGCATTACCTAAGGGTAGTGAGTTTGGGCATGGGCAGTTCAGGGTGCCTGCAGGACCCTCCGATGGAAATAGAAATGTCTAATAAGAATCTCTACCTGAGCCTCTACTCCCTCCCAGCACTGTGCTAAGACACTTTACATAGACTACCTTGCAGGATGAGCCTCAAAACAATCCTATGCATTGGCTATCTTAACTACAGGAGACTCACCGACGCAGGAAAGAAAAGACAGGTCATTCGAAGAAAGGATGTTTGAGCTGGGCTCTACACTGCTTCCCACAACCTCAGCATGTGAGACATGCTTCACACCACAACACTACCAACACTACCAAAAACAGGTGGAGTCCTGAATGCTAAAGAGAGGCAGGAATGGGGGGACGGGAGGGGGTGGCGGCTTTGGATGGGAGAGAGTTGAAGTCCACAGAGGTGAGATCACAGTAATGACACAGGATGGGCCGAGGGCTCAGGGACCATCTTGCTGTGTCCAGAGTGGGCTGAGGAAGAAGGGGCAGCTAGTAAGGAGAAAAATGGTGGCAACAAAAAAAAAGGAAAAGAAAGAGAAAGATGAAGGAGCAAGAAGGCAAAGTGGAGGGCGGCTCCAAGAAAGCAAGAGCAGGTTTCTGTGATGCTGCAGTGTGCTTACACTCTCAGCTGCTCTTTACCTGCCTGACAATCAGATGGGAGCCACAGAACTATGGTTATACGACATTTCTGTTACTAACAGCCATATGCAAGATAGTACTTCCATAGCATCATTCAGCTTGGGTAAGTATACACTGTGATACTCACACAACCACAGAATTGCCCAAGGATACCTTTCTCAAAAGATACATCCATCATTAAGGGATACACAAGCATGCTTCTGGCAAAGGGATGATGGATAAGACTGATATGTCATGTAAGAGAGCAGTACAAGTTTGCTTCCTTCCCCTGCAGCTCCTCCAGATGGCATGAGAGGACACCAGCTACGCTCTCCCGAGGGGAACTGAACCAGAGCTGGAGAGCTGCCCTGGGACTTTTTAAAAGTGTCCTTCCCATTGAGATTTTGAGCTCCGAGGGTTTGTTCATTTCTGCAGCTTGACCTGGTAGAAAAGAGATGAAGAAGAGGGTAAAGTTCTCTCTAAGTTTACTGCTTGGGTTACACCCTGAAGAACGTGTTAGTCTGTTGACTGAGGAGCGGTTCCAATGGTCAGTGAGTGTTTGAATACACCCTAGCAACATGGACAGACCTCTACTTCAATCACAAATACTATTCTAAACAAAACGGAATACACACCTCAGTAAGATCTCCTTTTTATACGCTGACATTTAATACCATGTTTTCAACTACTAGTATAGAAATCCTTAAGGTAAGAGAAGTGCTATAGAGAGATCTCTTCTTATATTACCAGCTCTTGCCATTAGCCTCACTCACATATTAAATAACCAGACTTTCTAGGGGCTGGGATTCCACTGACTCAATCCTTGACTGGCGTGCACAAACCCCTAATTCTATCCCTAGCAGCACATAAACTTGGCATGATGGCTCACATATGTAATCCCAGTACATGGGAGGTAAAGGCAGGAAGACTAGAAATTCAAGTTCATCTCTAGCTACAAAATCAAGTTTGAGGCCAGCCTGGGCTATCTGAGATCCTTTTCTGTTAAAAAGAACAAAAAACAAATAAAATTTCTGAATTGTAATGTCCTAGTTATCTCTTATTTTACTTTAAAAACAATTGCATGCCTATAATCTCAGCACTCAAGAGGCTGAGGCAGAGGAATTGCAAGTTAGAAGCTAACCTGGCTGAAATGTAACAAGACTCAGATTAAAAAAAAAATGTCAGCCGGGCGGTGGTGGCGCACGCCTTTAATCCCAGCACTCAGGAGGCAGAGCCAGGCGGATCTCTGTGAGTTCGAGGCCAGTCTGGGCTACCAAGTGAGTTCCAGGAAAAGGCGCAAAGCTACACAGAGAAACCCTGTCTCGAAAAAACCAAAAAAAAAAAAAAGAGTCATCTACCATGTCTTAAGGATAGATTATAAAGGATAGCATATTTACCATTTGCTGCTCTAATTATAGAACACACACCTTTAGAATCAAGGCTAAGCACATCTAACTCAAGTTAACTCCTTGGTCCATAGGACTTTGAGGGGCAATGGAAGTATCCCAGAGGGAGAAGGGATTCAGTCTGGAACTGACCTACTGAAGGTAGTGTAACATAAGGTGCATTTCTCGTCTTCAAATGACATGTCCAATGAGTAATTGTCATCAATATTCATCTCTGCATATAAAGTGATTCTTGCCTTTTACAGAATTGGCCGATAAAACTATACAGCTGTTGCCCCATGAATTTCAGGTATTTAAACAGTGGGCGCTCACATAAACCTTAAGGGGTGTTCTTAGTGTCTTTCATCTTGTCTGCTAAATATGCCAGTTTGATTCATTCATACATTCTCTTGCCTCAAGTATCACTTAGCCCCAAGCCCTCTTTCTAGAAATTTCAATTTCCCCATCACAAGACAACTAGAGCAACCAGTATAAAACCTGATTCCAAATGGTCCTCTTCCTGCAGTGTGCTTTCAGAGTCTCCTTCTGGCCCTCAAGCAAAGGCTGAACTCCCAAACACACCCCTCACAGCTCTTTGACATCTGCCTCCAACCTACTCAGTCTCATCTCATTGCCATCCCCCACGCTGAGCTAATCCTGGCCCCACCAGCTCCGTCAGGCACCCTACTTCTTGTACTTGGAGTTTCTCCAGCCTTCTTTCTCTTCTGCAGATGGAGGCTCGTCATTAAGGCACAGCTCCATTAGGGATGGCGTGATGGCTCAGCATTTAAGAGCACTGGCTGCTCTTCTGAGGACCCTGGTTCAATTCTCAGCATGCACATGGTGTATGTACCACCACGATTATCTGTAACTCTGGTTTCAGGGGACCTGGTGCCCTCTTCTGGTCTCTTCAGGCATCCTTTTCCTGGAAATTTTTTTATAACACTTTATGACATTTATGTCTGGATAGAAGGTGCAACTGAGTCACAGCACACATGTGGAGGTCAGAAGACAACTTGTGGAAGTCAGTCTTTTCCTTCTATCATGTGGGTCCTGGAGATGGAACTCAGGTCAAGGCGTGGCAGCAGGTGACTCTACCTAATGAGCCATCTCATTGGCCCTAAAAAGCATTGTGTTTGAATCTACAAGGAGTAATTTCTTCCATGACCCAGAAGACTGCTAGATGCTTTAAGATGAAAAATAAACCAAATTTTTTATTTTTTTTGTTTTTGTTTTTTTGTTTGGTTGGTTGGTTGGTTGGGGTTTTTTGGTTGGTTTTGGTTTTGGTTTGGTTTTCTCTGTGTAACAGTTCTGGCTGTCTTGGAACTTACTCTGTAGACCAGGTTGGCCTCGAACTCACAGAGATCCATCCACCTGCCTCTGCCTCCCAAGTGCTGGGGTTAAAGGGGTGAGTCACCACCACCCAGTTAAGCCAAGATTTTTAAGTGCTTTGGGGCATAGATTGATATTTTTAAAGACCATCAACTGTCCATTTGGAAACTGAGGCGGTGCTATCTGTGGGTAGTGTATAGCTCAGGCATACTCTGAACAAGCTTCAGCACGAATCCACCTCTAATAAAGATTTCATCACCCTACCCCGCACACAATCTAAAACCTAGCCATTGGTTTTGTTTGAAATTTTGTTTGATATTTTTCAGACCATCGTTGACTGTAGGTATCTGAAATTGAGGAAGGTGAAACCATGGTTGAAGGGAAACTGAGGCACAGTACACAGTGAGCCCGTGTTAACGCACAGCTACCAGGTGGAGAGGAGGATGAAAGGGAAGGAAACCACAGGAAGGAAATCAAGGAATGCTAAACCGGGTGTTAGTCTGAAAAAATCATTAATTGGAAGAAAATTTAAATTATGCACTGAGTTTAGGATTAATATAAGCCATTTATTCATTTTCTTTTAAAATAACTTTCCCCCAGGGGGCGGTTTTAATTGTAAAGGGTTATGCATGACTTGTTTTTTAAAGTCAGTCTTAACTAAGCCAATATGGATACAATCAGCAAAATCAACCTTCCAAAGCAAATACAATTTACAGCTTTTTGATAAATGTAGTTTTCCTACAACTAGCATTTTAACAATTAGAGCTTGCTGCAGTGAATATTCACCTTAAGGTTTAAGTCAAAATTCCCTAGTACTAATAAAATAGCTTTGGGGGTTGCAGGAACATGCTTAGCAACTGACACAAATCCAAACTACACATAACAAAATATGGAATGCGTTCAGACATAAATTCAGAAACCAGTCCATCTAGATTTTAAAAATCTGAGATCTAGAAAGTAACTTTTTGTTTGTTTCGGTTTGGTTTTTTGATTGTTTTTTGTTTGTTCTTTTTTCTTTTGTTTTTTCGAGACAGGGTTTCTCCGTGTAGTTTTGGTGCCTGTCCTGGATCTCACTCTGTAGACCAGGCTGGCCTCGAACTCACAGAGATCCACCTGGCTCTGCCTCCCGAGTGCTGAGATTAAAGGCCTGCGCCACTGCCGCCGGGCTAGAAAGTAACTTTACATATTATTATTATTATTATTATTATTATTATTATTATTATTATTATTATTATTATTTAATTAGTATTTAATAATAATTAAAATCCCAACCATGGAACAGATCGAAGTACTGAGACCCAGAGTAGCTGGGAAACATTACTTGGCTATTTGTAGCCACATTCAGACCAAGAAACTCAGGCCAACCTGAATTCCCAGCTCACATCTCTCCCTGCTGATGGCTCTGTGCGCTGGGTAAAACCCAGCGCCTCCTATTCCCGGCACTTCCATCGAATGTGAGGCAAATTCAGCATGCTGCTGCTGGAGTCGGGGTGGAATGGGATTAGTGAAATTGGGAGTGTGTTTCTGGGTGTGACAGCATGCTGGTGACACAGTAATTTCTTGGTAACACCTCCTGGAAGCCGCTCTGGTACCTTCCTAACTACTATGTTGACCAGCACGCAAAAGGTGTAACTTTTGCAAGTACCCCTTTTCCTATAATAAGTAACTCCCCGGTGTAGGTTTAGAAAAGTTCACTCTGATACGATCCTGGGTGTCCTGAAAAGTGAGAACCTTGTGGAAAGGCAGGGAGTGGGAAGGGTGCAGTAGAAAATAATTCCAAAGCAGGCAGACAGAACGGGGAATGGCTGGCAGCCCGGACTCTGCTCTTCTGTTGCTAGGGCCTCCAGCGTCCATGGTTACCGAACACCGATTAGCGCTCTGCGGCCTCAGGAGTCACCCCACCCCGGCTGAAGGGTTCCAATAGACAGGGGGCTTCCTTCTTTGATCGGGGTAGGAGTCTGAGATTCCCGTTTGGGGTCTCAAAAGCGGTGGCTTTGTGAACGCCAGCCCCGGTCGAGGTTTGTGCGGGGAAACTTAGGCAGGGCGAGCCCTGGGGTCTCCCAGCCCGACTCACGTTGTAGTCCTTCATCCAGTAGGTGACTTTATCCTGGAGGGTCTGAAAAGATTCGCTTTTGGCCAGCTTCTTCAAGTGGTCTGCCATCGCGCGCTGTTCCACGCGTCCGACTCCGGGGGACCGAGTTAGTAGAAGGGACGAGGGGGTGGCCTGGGCAGGACGGTGGGGTGCTGTGGCCGCAGGGGTGTTATCTTCTGCGCAGGCTCAGAACGCAGCAGGAGTATCCATCCTCCCCCTCGGGTCGGACCTGGCAGGGTTCGGGAAGCCGAGGGGGGAGGCGCCCTGAGCCGCAGGCGTCACGTCTTATCCACGGCCCGGCGCGCTGTTCCAGCTCCCCCGCCGCCGCCCGCCAGCCAGGCCATAAATAACCCGTCGATTATTAAACAAACCTTGACGTGGCGGCCGGCTGCCAGGGACCCGCGGCTCGCGTCGCAGCAACGCCCCGCCCCACCCCAGCCCAGCTCGCGCCCAGACTGGGGGACCTTGGGGGGGGGTCTGCCGAGACCGCGACCTCCCCACCCCTCACCCCACCTCGCGATGGCTCTGCCGGCCCAGGGCGAGGGTACCGAAGCGGTCGGACCTCCGGGTTGTGCGAGCGGCTGGAGGACGTCCAGATCCGGGGCCGGGGCGGGGGGGGGGGGGGGTTAGGGGCGAGCAGGGGGAGGGGGAGCTGCTGCCGGACCCTGCGCTGGGCTAGGCCTGCCCGGGGGACTGGGTGACCGCAGGACACCTAACCTGCGGCGGCACCCGATACTGGGCGACAGACAGTGCGTGCCTTAGGAAAGCAGGTTAACTCCGTGGAAATTTTGAGCAGACTTCCTTGACCCTTCCTTTATTCCTCCACCTCTCAAGCCTTGAATTCTCCGTTTGCCTGTGTGAAACGGGGGCTAAAACGTCCGTTCTTACGGCTTACATCTTTGGCTTTGTCGCTGGACCCACTCGGTGGGTCTAAGTCAATAGATTTGTACTCTATAGAAGGACACACACAGCTACACGGTGAGGTAGATCCTCGTCCTAACTTTCAGGTCTTCCTCAGCATGGACAGGTGCAAGCCCTTAGCCAGTCTGTGTTCTGTGTGGAAAACTAGCTTTTGCTCTACTTGATATGAAATTGCTTTTAAAACAGTCGCCGCAGTGATAAGATTTCCCGGTTGGCAAGCGGTTTGTCAAGCAAGCGTGAGGATCCCCAGTACACACGTTAAAGGGGGGGAGGGGAATGAGACAGGAGACTCCCTGGCTGGGACTGCTGGCCAATTAGTCTAGATAATCACTGAACTCCGGATTCAAGGAGAGACCCTGTCTCAAAAAATAAGGTTAAGAGATTGAAATATTTTTTCACACGTAAGTGTGTGCCCGCGCACACACGCACACACACACATATACACACACCAGAATTTACTCGCGGTGTGCTAAGACGTTTTGTCCTCCTTGTCCATTTTAGTCAGCATCTGCTAACCCAAGTGGTCTTTGTTCTTACATCAGGAACTTAATTTTGCCCTTTATGCTTTCTTCCACTTAAACGGGGGCGGGGTGGTGGTGGAGGGGGACACGGGACACTCCCACAAAGGAAGAATCAACTGGTTCAGATGGAAGCTGAGGGCAGGTTCCTCCTCTAGGAAGCAGTAAAGTCAAGGTATCCTGTGGAGTGCCAATACAATACCAGTGTGCATTCTCTCTGGACAGACCAGAATTATTTTCCTGTACGATCCTTCATGTCCAGTTTGCCTACGAACAAACGAACTGCAAGAATTGTAATCTATTGAAATTTTATCACTATGATACCTAAATAAATATTTACAATAAATTTAAATACAGAATAGAAGAGAAAAATGAGACAGGGATATTGTGTTGGCCCAAATACCCCCCCCCAATCCCAACCAAGGTGTCTGTTATACTCACTTCAACACAGAGGCGATCCCTGACGTCAACTTTTTCAGTACCACTTGCTCAGTGAAAGAGCAGATACATGGCGCTGTGGCCATGGCCGTTGAAGGGGAGGGCTCAGCACACACTGAGACACCGTAGAGAGAGGAGCAAGGTCTGATCAGCCTTGCAGATACCCGTCATCCTCTCAGAAGAATGACATGGTACAGCATGAAGGCAGGGCCTAGGATGGGCGGTATGGAAATGGATCCTTTTCATGCACTGAATAGCATTTCCTGGATTTCGATGACAACCCACCCATCTGTCTCATGTATAAGGTGAAGTCAGACTGGCTTCCTGCTCTCTGGGATCTCACAATCTGCAAGAGACAGACACAACAATTGTAACTCGGTGTGTAAAGCACTAACAGGACACCTATACAGCTATGGACATAGTGATTCTCCCTTCCCTTGTCTCCTCCCCTGTCTTTTCGGAAGAAGGTGACATTTAGAACCAGCTCTGGAAGGATGCAGGAGTCCACCAGGGACAGGAAAGTGGATGCAGAGAAATAAAAGCTGCAAGGGTAAGAAATATAGAGTCCACTGTGACTACAGAGTCAGAGACAAGCCGAGAATAGTCCTGGGTTTGGCTATGATGAGCTGTTTGTACCAAGAGGTTAATGTTTATTTCATAGGCAGTGGGAAGGCAGCCAGAATTGTAATTGGATCTCTTCTTATACAGCATGTGGGAGGTCCTGTAGGAGGTGAGATGGGACTCAGGAAGAGTACTTGGGAAGCACAGGTGATGGGAATGTGGTCCTTCTCTGGGGTATTGTACGGTGGGTGTTAAAACAGATCTATGTCAGAGGTACTTACCATTTTTTATAGTCAATGAAAAAGGCCAGTATTCAGTCATCTGAATTAATGGGCATTTATTGTGTATTTGGTTCCTACGGTGATCAGGACTTGGAGTAATATGTAATGACATACTGCACCCAGTTTTTTTTTTTTTTGGTTTTTTCGAGACAGGGTTTCTCTGTGTAGCTTTGCGCCTTTCCTGGATCTCGCGCTGTAGACCAGGCTGGCCTCGAACTCACAGAGATCCGCCTGGCTCTGCCTCCCGAGTGCTGGGATTAAAGGCGTGCGCCACCACCGCCCGGCTGCACCCAGTTTTTAAGGAGCATCCAGTCTGCTTAGGAGATAACTATGCTAAAAGCAAAATTACATAAGAAAATATTAAATATAAACTGTGTGTGTCATAGTGAACTGGTATAATATCAGTTAAAACAAGACTGCTGGGAGACATTGCCAAGCACATAGCACCCTCCAAATATTTCAGAGGGGGGAAAGGCTTCCAAATAATAGCATTAGAAATGGCTCACATTATGCTTGTGGTTGAATAAATGAATTGGTTCTCTTTTTTTAAAACGACAAAAGGGAGTGGGACTGGAGCGACAGCTCACAGGTTAACATCTTTGGCTGTTCTTGCAGAGGGCCTGAGCTCAGTTCCCTGTGCGCATTGGATGGCTCATAACTGTAATTCCAGTCTCAGGGTCTCACACCCTCTTCTGATCCCCACCAGTACCAGGCATGCGGGTAGTGCCTATCGGTATCTGCAGGCAAAACATTCAAACACATGAAATATCAAGTCTTAAAAAAACAAGACACATTGGCAAGGAAAACAAGTGGATGTCCTGTTAGCAATGGGGAATCCAGGGAAAGTAGATCTTCAGACAGCCAAGAGGCATCTGACTTCAGAAAAATCCATTATCAAAGCTCCTGCGTGGAGACGGGTTAGGAAAAGCAAGATGGAGCTTTTTATCTAACTTGGAATGTCAGGCAGCTGTGGACGACATTTAATAAGTTTCATTATTGTGTGTGATAGAGACATAGGCCTTCAACACTGCAAACTGAAACCCCACACAAGATTAAAAACAGAGTGCCCCATACTACTGACTTGAGCCTCAAACGGCTCCAAAAAGAATGTGACACTTGATGGGGTCTGGGGGGGATACAAAGGAGTATGTCTGTCGAGAAAAAGGAAAAGACCTTCTGACCACAGTGAAAGACGCACAGGATCCCAGAACCAGTCAAAGGCTGTGTTGTCAACGTTGATAAACAGGACTAGAGGCAAGCTATCACACAGACACTGCTGATTCCCAAAGGGGTGTATTTATGGACTTCCTGCCTAAAATGTAGGTATGTTATGGAGATCGAGCCAGGTGGTTTCAGCACGTGGGGAAGAAGACATGAGCAGGCAAATGACCACACAGGTGAAGCTCTTACCCCGCATCAGACATGAGAAAGGAAAAAGGTTAGAAGACATTCGTCATGTGAGTGCCTATCTAAACTTCACAGCCATCAGAAGTAGGCGGGGCGGCAAAGTGACTGGTTACAAAATCAAGATGACCCAGCTCCTGGGGAAAGGAAGCAGAGTCCAGCATCCCCTGGGGGGGGGGGGGTCCGTGGTACTTTCTAGAAGCTATTCATGACCTGAGGAACAGTTCTTGGACGTTGGATGCTACTCACTCTACTGCAGTTTTCCTTTCGACATAACGGATTGTTAACCAGAGAGCAACCAATGTGCACCTGTTCCCTGCACCTCCGAATGTCTTCCTGGTGCTCACTGTGTGTCCATAGTTGGGTTCCTAAGAACCTGGTAGAGTCCGCGCATCAACGTTGTACGGACAGACAACCTGCTTCTAATGCCTCAGAGAAAGAGTGCCAGACTTGACCACGGTCTTCTTGGAGGACTGGTTTGATTTAACTGCCTAACTTCCGTCCACTTGGTCTGCTCCCAAGCCTCGCCCGCGAGTACTCTCGATGACATTTCTTTCCAGAACTCTCAAGACCTCACATCTCGGGAGGTAGTGTGTGGAAGGGAAAGGCGTGTTTTGGACTTTGAAGGCGTCCTTTCCTAGGAATTTGAGGACGCCCCGGAGCGCGCACGATCCCTGCCACGCCCATCCAACCCGCAGCCAGCCGCTCACGGTTGCGAGTGACCCGCCTGGGTGGATCAGAGCCGACAAGACTCCCTCGGCCCACTCTGGATTTCCTTCGGGGGCGTACCGGGGGCGTGCCGGGGGCGTGGCCAGCGAGGATGTGAGCCCCACCCACCCCCGTGCCAGAGCGCAAGCGCGGGCTGCAGCGGGCCAAGATGGCGGCGGCGGCGGCGGCGGCGGCGGCCGCTGAGCAGGTCTGTGTGCCTGCTGAGGCCGAGAGAGGGCTTGGGGAGCGGGGTGGCCGGGTCGTCCCCACGGAGGGCGGGGACGCGGGCGTGAGGGCCGGGCTGGGGCGGCGAGGCGAGGCGAGGCGGGGCGGGGCGGGGCGGCAGGGCGGGGCGGCGGGAGCTGTCCGCAGCGGCGATGCTGGCGAAGGCCGGCCGGGCGGGAACCTGCACAGCCGCGGACCCAGGCCGGTGAGGGGAGCTGTCCCTCGGCGGGAGTGACCCGGGTCACCGGCCTGCGCAGCCTGCGCCTGGACGCTCCTCTCCTCCGCAGCCAGCCACCGTGCGGATAAAAATAGCGTCAGCTGGGGCCGGGAGGCTGCCCGACACCAGCCAAGTCGTGGTCAGCTGTTGCCTGGTGTGGATCGTGGCCAGGTCTTGTTTCTGCCCTGCCCGATGTGCAGACATTTTTCCCCTCCCACTTTGGTTTCTCGGAGCAATATAAAAACTGACCCGTGTCCAGTGGGTTTAAGATTACTTTTAAGGAATGCATTAGCAAATACTTCCTGGTCTTCGTGGTAAGCCTAGAAGAGTTTAAAAAAGGCTGTACTTTTAGCATGCACATGTGTGTGAGATGTGTGAATACGTGCCCGTGCATGTAGTTGCCGGAGTGATAATATAATAAAAACAATTTCTGTAGTCACTTCTTTACTCTTGTTTCCCTTTTAAAATAACCAGTAAGATAGTTTTCCTTTAAAACGTCCCATTCTTCAACATCATTGGGGGGGAAGGGAGTGAAACTGCCAATATTCAATTGGCTTTGGAAGATTTTTTTCTTAGGTGGCTAACGTTTTAGAGACCTGTTAGGTATGTGTTCCTGGAGGACATGAAATCTGCCTTTGAGTGCCTAAAAGTCAAATGGCCAAACAAAATTCAACCGTCAGCTCTAACTACAGGCAAAGTGCAGATTCCCAACAAAATGTCAAGAACAAGTGAGGCCGAAAGGAGACAACGTGAACTGTTGGGACTGAAGCCGTTCCTTGGTTTCCTAGTTTACCCCTTAACTAAATCAGCCTCTGAGGTAGAGAGTCTGCTGTTCTGTGCATGCATCTTGATGCCCCGAGGGTCTGTTCTGACCATTCAAAGGCTACAGTCATCTGCTCACTTGGCTACCCTAACCAGAGCAGGACTGCCTGAACAGAGAAACACGATTTGGGCTTAATGATCTGCTGTCCTCAACTTTGTATTTGAACAGGAAGACTTGCTTTTGTTCTCGGGGTCCCACAAATTAAGTAACCTATTCTGTTTGGAAGTCATCGTGGACGCCTCTGTGTCACAGTCACAGGCTCCTGGCAGTTCTCCCCCAGCTCCATCTCCAAAGCCAAGGAAATGTGGTGACACCGTCTTCTCCAGCTGTTCTATCCAGCCCTTCTCCTCTGGGGCGTGATTTTGCTGCCATGTGAATGTCTTCAGTAGGGGCTGGCAAGATGGCTTGGTGGATAAAGGTCCTAGCCACGAAGGCTGACAACTTAAGTTCCTGAGTCAATCCTGAGAACCCACTTGGTGAAATGAGAGAACCAATTCTCAACAGCTGTCCTCTGATCTCCGCACATATACCACATATACCATGGTGCATGTGCTTACACACACACACACACACACACACACACTAAATAAAAGAATAAAGAAATACAGAAGAGGAGGAAGGTTGGAGGAGGGAAGAGGAGGAGAAGGGAGATGAGGAGTAGGAAGAGGAGGCAGATTGAGTAGAAAGAGGAAGGAGGGGGAAAGGAAGGAGATTAGGAGTAGGAAGAGGAGCCCAGCAGCAGCAGCAGTGCCTCAGTCGTTCCCCACCGCCCCCAGGAGGAAGTTCATCTTTCACACTGTGGTGCTTTTGATGTTTACCACATCTCTCACTTTATTTTCCCTTGGTTCGTTTTTCTCTCCCACCTCAGTTCATTCCCCCATTACCTCAAACCTCCACTCCTACGTTATCTGAGAGCGCCTGCTTACCTGTCAAGTGTTCATTTAACATTTAGCTGAAGCGTGTGCCGTTTGTGCTCAGAAGCCTCCAGTGACTCCCAAAGACCAGAGTCTACACCCTTCTCTACTTCCCACCTTCCTTCTCCCAGTGTTCCAGATCTGACCATCGCTCCCCCCATTCTCCTAACAACTCCAGAGTGTCCCAACGCCCCCATTTGAACTCTGAAGCATGTATTGCCTAGACTACTGATTTTGGCACCCAGACACACAGAGTGTGTTTATCATATAACACACAATGCAGGTCTGTAATGCATGCAGATAAGGATCACGTCCTCCTAGCTTATGTTCCTATGTATCATGATAGTGTTTCAGCATACAGGTCTTAGTATGTGCCTTCTACAATAAATGAATGATCTCAGAACTCATAAAAAATGTGGAAATTGGGCAGTACCCATTTCTGCTGGTCCTTCTGTGTTTGTTATACATGAATGCTTAATGTCCCTTAGGTGTGGTCAAGCTAAGAAGTTCTCAAATTTTCTGATCCTAGATTCTATTTACACTCTAAAATATCTGTTGGTATTTACCATATTAGAAATTAAAACTTAGAAATTGTGAAAGCATAGGAATGCCCGACAAACATTTCATTAATTCTTAGAACAATCATGTTATTATAAATGGTCACGTGACCTCTAGAAACACCATTATTCATTCAAAAGAGTGAGGGTGAGAAACAAATATTATTATTTTTAAAATGTGTCTGGCATTTCAGACCTTGAAGAGAGTTCAGTTGGTACCCCCCTAACTTTTATACTCACACAACTGCCCCTGAACACTTTGAAAATTGCTGATCTAGAGTAAGGTAGGCTTTAATTGGTTGAGTTATAAGTAGCAATCTCTGTCAACCATTCCAAATTCTTTTCATGCAGATGTAAAAAGTAAAAATTCAACAAGTCACTAGTGAAAATGAGATCGCCCACTGCAATAGATGTGTGTGCCAGCTCTACACAGAAACGAGCTGTGCCCACGTTGACAGTCAGATGACCAAAAGCACAGAGAGATGTGCTGTATGACAGTGACCTTGACGGCTGCAGTTCAACCTGACTTGCAGTGTATTCATGGGACGTCTATCAGCAACACTTAACTATGAATTTGAATGTAAAAAATGCATCAGAAGAGAGTGTAGCTGTTCTGTTCTGTTTCGTTTTTAGCAAAGTTCCAATGGACCAGTGAAGAAGTCCATGCGGGAGAAAGCTGTGGAGCGAAGGAACGTTAACAAAGAGCACAATAGCAACTTTAAAGCCGGGTATATTCCTATTGATGAAGATCGCCTCCATAAGACTGGCCTGAGAGGGAGAAAGGGCAACCTGGCCATCTGTGTGATTGTCCTCCTGTTTATCCTGGCTGTCATCAACCTACTCGTGAGTCTGTGGGGCAGAGTATGGTCTCTTCAGTTACCTTGGGGAATTTTCCATCTTTTTCAGCGAGATCACGGAGTTTGCTTGTGTATTGTGTTTTGGGATGCTCTTGCCTTCTGCTTTTCTGTAGGTGTTTTATCTCCTATTGGTCTTTAGTTAGTGCTTTAACATGAAAAACCTAGCAGGCTTCTCTCTCCACTCCCACAAAAATAAGTGAACAAAATTGAAAAATTGCCTTCCCCAATCTCGCTGAGGTATAGAGCCATGGCCTGAGCCTTCCCCGCTCTCACTGAGGTGCTGAGCACTGGCCTGTGCCTTCCCAGGGTAGTTACTGTTTTGAGGAAGGGGCTTTTTAATATGAGGGTGTAGCTCCGGTGGTTAGCATTGGAGCCTGTGGCACCATCAGTGAATGGAACCATCTGTTCAAAGTGAGCCACTGATTTTCCTCCCCGTCCCATGCTCCTGAGCATCCTTTTGTACTCCATGTATGTACTTCCAGAACATTCGTGTCTAATCCCTCACTCAGGGAAGAGCTGGAACATGCTTTAAAGAAGGTACCATAAATAGCTTTACTGGGAGCATGCAGTCTGGATTTATTGTGCCTTATACTTTTGCTTTATTAGAGATTTCTGGCAAGGATGGCAGAATTAAGACATAGAAATGTCCTCTTCTCTAAAAAGCTCGCTCCAAAGTAACAGTGTCAGGAACATCAATGTATTTGAAGAGAGTGAAAAGTGGCCAAAATCCTAAGGCATAATTTATGAAGACAAAAGAGGAGGGAGAATGGCAGGTAACTTATCAGAAGAGAAAGACAGGCTTGTGTGTGTGTGTGTGTGTGTGTGTGTGTGTGTGTGTGTGTGTGTGACAGAAGAATACAACCTGTATTGGTAAAGTGCCTTGCAGAACCCAGAGTTGGAAGGACAAGGACCTTACTACTCAGGATCAAGGCAGGAATTGAAACAGATAAATTGTGTGAAGTCTGAGGTTAGTGAAACTCCTGGGCCTCACTTCCCAACCAGAAGCTAACCAATTCTGTCCGACTACAGCTAAGCCGTGTGTGTCCAGACACCCTGGACCACTGCACGAGGGAACTTCCATCCTGAAAACAGGGCAGCCTAACCCTGAGTGCAGAGGCTCACTTCCCACACCCCTTTCCTTTCATCCTCTACCTCCAGCTACCTGGAAGTAGCCTAGAGATGGAGGGCCCCTCTCTGGAGAGTTAAAGCACCCAGAGAAAGAATGCCACATGACAGTGACATTTGACAGGGCCAGTAAAGAAGAACACTCCCTGCTGGGAAGCCTGTAGGTCAGGAGGTCCACCCCACATAGAGCCCCTTATGAGCTCACTGTGGTGGTGAATGCCAGTAGGAGGGGCCGAAGAGACAGGCTAGCTGTGCTGTTGTCTGAGCACTGGGCCAGGGGTCAGTGGACTTGTAATGGAAACTGTGATCATTGAAAACTGATAGAGACAAATTATCCACCGTGGGTGAAGCAGAAGCTCAGGGAGATAGGGAAAATGCAAGGAATGGCAGAAAACAAACCCCACAAAGCCATGGTGTGCATACGTGTAAACCCAGTGTTTGGGAAGTAGCCAGCCTTGACCACATAGTGCATTAGGGGCCAGCCTGGACTGCATGAGATTCTGTCTCAGGAAATAACAACAAAAAGAACTCCCTGAAAATTAGCTTCTTCTGAGAACGACAATATTCCACCCATGAAACAAAAATAACACGGCATTTCAAATGGTGCAATTAAATAATGAAGAACTCATAGATATTCACATATGGGGCTGGAGAGATGGCTCAGCGGTTAAGAGCACTAGCTGCTCTTGCAGAGGTGTGGGGGAGGGGTTGGTTTCTAGCTCCCACATGGTAGCTTACAACAGTACAGTTCCAGAAGATGTGATGCCCTCTCTGGCCTCTGAGGGCACTGTATACATGTGGTCACAGACAGTGCATGCAGGCAGAACACCCACACACATAAAAGAAAAATAAACAAGTTTTTTAAAAAGTAAATAGACATCCATGGTGGGTGGGCAGGTATTGGAAAGATTGAAGCTCTTCCACAGAGTTCTACAGAATCAAAGGGTCAATCTGGAGCTTTCTAATAAAGGAGATTCAGAAAGTGAGGATAGAGAAAGCATTGAAGGAAAGGAATCAAATCAAATGAACTAAGAAAACTCTCTAAAGCCTGGTGACATGGCACACCCCTTTAATCCCAGCACTCGGGAGGAAGAGGCAGTGGATCTCTGAGTTTGAGGCCAACCTGGTCTACAGAGTGAATTCCAGGACAGCCAGGGCTATAGTGTGAGACCCTGTCTCAAAAAAAAAAAAAAAAAAAAAGAAAGGAAGGAAGGAAGAAAGAAAGGAAGGAAGGAAGAAGGGAGGGAAGAAAAGAGAAAAGAAAATTCTCTAGAAAAATTGAAACCATTCTGGGTTCAGTGTGATATATTTTAAAAGAGAGGGCAGAAGAAGGAGAGACAGACAGACAGATCACACTATCACTGTAAAATTTAAGAAAACTGGAAATAAAAAGATTCAAAATTTCTAGAGAGGAGAAAAACGTGTTACGTAGGATGAACACAAAAGCAAACTGGCCCTGGCCCTGTCGTGATCATTGGAAACAGCAAGGTAATAAAACCATGGCCTTCAGAGGTCAGAGGTCAGGTCTCAGAAGCACGTCAACCAGATCGTCCCGCAACGTGAGGGATTCTACAGACTGTGTCTTACCATACACATGCGCCAAACATTTTTACTTCTATGGAAGCCACTGGGCTACCAAAAGAAAGCAGTGAAGCAAGCCCTTCCAATCTGGGGATACAGGAAGCTGGGCATGTCACGTGGGAGAAAGCGTGAGAGGCAAGTTCACAGTCCCAGCACATGAGTGGATGGAGCAAAAAGACCAGGTCCAGGAAAACAGACTGGAAGAGAAAAACAGAACCGACACTGTCGGGGCAGCTTGAACTGCAGAACTTTTATTTTACTGAGAGATTTGCAGAAATACAGAAGTGCCTGAGATTTAGTTGAATTTCCAAATGAAAAAATATTGAACTATGAAGACATACATATTAAAAAAGAGTTACAGGATAGTGTTTGGTACGATGGTAAATAATACTTATGTGGCCACAAATACTGAACACACACTTAACCTAGTCTGTTTGGAGTTGGAAGAGAAAAGATGTAACAGAAAGCTCAAATTCTTACCTGCTAAAACAGGAAATAAGTGAAGGAAATCGGTGGAGGAAGAAATTCAGTATACATTATTTAGAAGTAGGGAGATCAACTCCAGACGGAGGGGCTAACGTTGCTGAACGTGGTCGGTTGTCCTTAGGGAACAAGATGAAGTGAGAACAGGAAGAAGCAGCACTGCATTTTCTATAGACCTCGCATGTCCGGCTCTTGACTGTGTGTGTTTAGCACTTAGATAAAAATAACGCATCCTCTAAGCAGCCCACCGCCAGTGAGTTCATCTCCTAACTAAACACGTCTGTCAGGAGGCCACACACATTGGGACATGCTCACTCCTGTTTGCTTCCAGGTGTGTCTGGTGTGTGACTAGTGACAGCGGACATGTCTCTCCTTCAGATTACGCTTGTCATCTGGGCTGTGATTCGCATCGGGCCAAATGGCTGTGACAGCATGGAGTTCCACGAAAGCGGCCTGCTGCGATTCAAGCAAGTGTCTGACATGGGCGTCATCCACCCGCTCTACAAGAGCACCGTGGGAGGAAGAAGGAATGAGAACCTGGTCATCACTGGCAACAACCAGCCAGTAAGTTCCCACTAAAGGAAGTGTGCAGATGGTAGAGAGGCGTGGACCACAGTTCTCACGAAAACCTACAGTTGAGTGCTGGAAAATACTGTCTTCTTGTTGAAAATATCTATTATACACACAAACGTATCCACATTCATAAATACCCAATGGTCAGTGATATTTAGCTTTATAGTCTCACTGGAGTTGGGTATTTAATATTCTAGAGTTTTCCCCCAGTGGAAGCACTGGCTGGAGTAATGAGTGTACAGGTTGGTAGGTCACTGTTGGCTCTTCAGTGACAAAGCCTTTGTAAAAGCACCTTCCCAGGTCGGAAAGTCCAGATTCGTGGAATTGGGAAGAGAAATGCTGCTCAGTGCACACAGACCTTGAACTGGATGAACCTCAGGAGGTTACTCACCTCCACACTGGCCATCTTGGCCCAGCCATGTTCCCTGTGACCTGTGTTTTTGTCCAGTGGGTCCATAGATCAGCAAAGGAGTGCACACTTTTTCATTTTGTCCTTCATTTTAAAGTTGTGCATTATGCAGTCTCATGGGCAGGTGCAGTTAAGAGAGTTGAAAGTCTGGCTCTTTCCGCCATTTTAGTTCTTAAACCTTACTGTTTTGTAGTGTCCCTAAAAATAGTAGTCCTCGTGAACATTGAAACATTTGCGCATTCTTCAAAAACATACTCAAATGAAGCATTTTTCTGAAGATTGTTTTTCAGCAAGGAACAACCAAGCTGAGTGTAGAAAAGAACAAAACGTCTATCACCAGTGACATTGGAATGCAGTTTTTTGACCCAAGGACACAGAACATCTTATTCAGCACCGATTACGAGACTCACGAGTTTCATCTGCCAAGTGGAGTGAAAAGTCTGAATGTTCAGAAAGCGTCCACTGAAAGGGTGTGGTTTGTTCTTTCAACATCACTGGGGGAATTGGCTGCAGCTACTCTCTGGGGGAGGGTTTGGGCTGCCTGAAAACATGGCCCCCAGACCGTCCAGGGGCTGCTTCTAACCCTGTCCTTAGCCTGCAGGAGAGTAAGTCCTCTCTTTATGGTAGTTCCCACAATTATAAAACCGCCCTTCACAGCCCATATTGAAACTTTCACTTCTCTATGAGGATTCTTCCCTTCACCGATGAACTCTTTCCAGCATGTGTTTTCCTCTTTAGATTACCAGCAATGCTACCAGTGATTTAAATATCAAAGTTGATGGGCGTGCAATTGTGCGTGGCAATGAAGGCGTGTTCATCATGGGCAAAACCATCGAATTTCACATGGGGGGCAACGTGGAGTTAAAGGCTGTGAGTATTGTTTTGTGTGTGAATTCAAGGTAATGATTTTGGAATAGTATATAATTACATGTAGAATAATATATAATCACTGAAAATTATTTTTGTCATGCCAAGATGTTCCAAATGGATTGTGAAATGAAAGAAAGTTATAAAATAATTTGTGGACTACCTCATTTGTTTCAGAACATGTGCATGTTTATAAAATCTGGAAAGATATAGTAAAATGTTAACAATATTTAGCTAAGAGTGATAGAATAACAGGTGATTTCATTTTTACTTCTGCTAGTTTGTATTTTTATATTATTTTAAAAGGCAGAAAAATAAACCCCAAACAGACCTTCTGATAGAGAATTCTAGATCAAAACCTGTGTCCCCCGAAGCAGCTGTTGTTGTTTAATTGAAGATTATTCCTATCCATTCCCAAGTTTTGTGTCCAGGCTATAAAGAGAACCGTAAGTGAATGGGAACAGGTGTTTTTATCTGACGTCTGTTAGCTGTGAGGGAGAGCCTATCTTCACTGGGACATTTGCTTTGGCCTCACGGATTTTATCTGGGTTTTGACCAGCCTCCTACGTCATACAGGGAGCCATAGTCTGCACCCTTCTTACTAGCTCATAGTTTGGGCCAGAACGGAGTTATCCCACATGCCTCTGGGTACCATGCTGCTTACATGGGGCTAGGGAAATGTGTGTCACCAAGCATCACGTGACAAAAATGGCCTTAAATCTGAGGACTTAGAGATCATTCTTCCCTTTCAAGAGAAATCCAGGTTTATAACTCTTAGAAATGATAAGCTTTAGGAAGAAAAGTAGGCACTTCACTTGGACGGCTTTCCCCCTAAAGTGCCCAGTCCCCTCTCAGGATGACAAGGATGACCATGGACTGTAACTCCTGCCGGAGGCAGCATAGCCACCCCAGGAGTGTCCCGGCGCTGTGGTAGGGAGCTCCCTGAGGAATGCCGAGCCGTCACGGCTCCAGGTTGTAGTTGACGCTAAAGGTCAGAGGAGTGAGGTCCGAGCCCTTTGTATGCAGAACACGCCTAAGTTACCGAATCTTTCATTGTGTCCTCCAGGAAATCCTCACACCATTCTGCCTTATCGATGTGACGAATCTTAAAATACCTGAAGTATTCATACATGCTAGTTTCTAGTATCGAAAAGATACTCGGCTTTGTAAGTCAGGTGATATCAGTAGTTAGATTTAGAGTATATAAGCTAATCATTAGCAATAATTTTATCAAACTACCTTTTAAATTTTAGTTTTCACTTTTATTTTTAATTAGCATGTAATCTACATATTTATGGGGTACATTGTATGTTTTTATACATGTGTGCATGATCAAATTTGAGTAATTAACATGCACATCATCTCAGATATCTACCACTTCTTAGATTAAGACCATTCAAAATGATCTCTCCTGACCTTTTTTTTTTTTTTTTTTTTTTTAAAGATTTATTTATTTTGTATACAGCATGTATGACCAGAAGAGGGCACCAGATCTCATTACAGATGGTTGTGAGCCACCATGTGCTGGTTGCTGGGAATTGAACTCAGGACCTCTGGAAGAGCAGTCAGTGTTCTTAACCTCTGAGCCATCTCTCCAGCCCCCCTGACTGTTTTTAAATAGACAAACACTGTTAACTTTAGTCACCCTGTGTTACAGTGTATGGAACAGTTATAGTTTCAAGAAAGAAAAATTAAATGACCACAAGATGGCAGCATGGACACAAAACTGGAAGTAGGTCCCTTAATACTCGGAACTTTATTTCAGAATAACGTTGAGCGCTGTATTCTGAACATTTGGATGTTTGCCCGGTAAAATCTATGTAGATATTCCAAAATAAATAAAATAAACTTAGAAATGTGAAGTGGTTCTGTTCCAAGCATTTGCGACAAAAGCCGCTCTTCAGTCTGCGCATAGCACTAGACATTTCTGACACTTTACCGCCAGCTCCCAGTGCTTTAAGCCCTCCCTAAAGGGATGACTTCCATGCTTACAGCTGGATAGCACTCTACAAGAACGGGCCAGTTACCCATTTGTCTACGGTCATACCCCAGCACCTAGGGGAGGTGGGGGGGGGGGCGGGGGGGGGAGAAGTAGAGACCTACTGGTCCCTAAAAGGGAAGGGTCTTGGGAGGCTGAGATGGCTCAGCTGGTGACGTGTTTCCAAACAAGCGTGTGACCTGAGTTCAGAACCCCTAGGGCACAAATCAGATGGGCACACATATCCTGTATGTGCCTAGAGTCCTGTACTGAGGGTGCAGAGGCAAATGGGTCAGACAGCCGAGGCTACTGGCTGAGCTCCAGTGTCAGGGAGATGGAGACCTCACCACATAAGGTATGGTCGAGAGCCGTTTACAAAGACACGCATGTTCACACACACACACACAAAGGGTCCTAAGAGCTTGCAGTATGACAATGACTCTGTAGCTATGAGTTTAAAGAAGAAACCTTCAGTTTCTTTGAAAGCCTTGTCTAATAAACTATATAGTTCTAGTCTTTAATTGACTTTCTATTAACTAAAACTAGTTTCCTATAAGAGAAAAATGCACCCCCCCCCCATATCAACATTAGTCAGTAACTAAAAATTCTCTGGAGTCAGAAGGTGAAAATTATCCAAGTCTGTCACCATCGGTCCTGCTGTGCGAGGATGTGTCTGACGAGTGTCGGCAAGCTCTGTTTCAGGTTTGTGGACTCAGTGTGGGCTGACTAACATGAGCAGTCGCCTTTTGATCCTGTGTGTGGTTGGTTTTGCTGTGGCCACGGTTGTTTCGGTCGTGACTTTACTCTGGTTGCCACCTTTTCCTTTTAATAGTTGGTAAGTTTTGTCTGGTTTAGTAAGTTCCTTCTATGCCCATATTCCTGTCCTCACAGGAAAACAGCATCATCCTCAATGGAACCGTGATGGTCAGCCCAACGCGTCTGCCCAGTTCCTCCAGCGGGGACCAGTCGGGGAGCGGTGACTGGGTACGATACAAGCTCTGCATGTGTGCAGACGGCACACTCTTCAAAGTACAAGTGACGGGCCACAACATGGGCTGCCAGGTGGCAGACAACCCTTGTGGAAACACTCACTAGGAGCTCTGTCCCCAGGGTCAGTGTGTTCCACTCTCCACTTGACCTTTTCTTTTTAAGAATGCATGTGAACCATGTTTTTACAGTTTGCGGTAACTTGTAAGTATTTTAACTGGGGAGCACCACTGTATCGATTATGTACGCTCCACACTTAAGAGACTTTTGAGTGCCTAAATTCTGATATGCTTTATTAAGTTGCACTGATACTAAAATGACAGTTCTCTAAAATAATTATGAGAAATTAATAAAATGAAAAGTAATCTTGAAGTGTTTTTAACATTCTACTATCTCTTGTCTAAAGGACAAAGGGATGAAGAACTATGTAAGTAAGCCTCTGGTTATTTCCAGATCCACTCGAGATGTCTGGAGAGCATAGCATCACTGTCTGTGCTCTTTCTTTTTTTTGGCTTTTATGGGAAAAGGCACAGGTTTTTACTGCATTAACCCGAAGCCACATTTTCACAAACAAGTCATTGAAGAACTTTCCATCTATGAGCTTGTAAGAAACTATGTTTCCTTAGTTTTGCACTAAAGAAAATACTCTGTCATGGAATGTTTACTTGAAATAATGATACATATAAGTATCTGCAGTGCGTAGCCATTGACCCCCAACCCCAGTTCTCACTTGTGTGTACTGTTACTAGTGGTAACAGTAGCTGTTGTCATCAGTGGACCTCTTCTTCCCCAACACCGTCCTGGACACTGTGTGTTTAGTCTCTCTCATTCTCTCTGCGCCTCTCAGGAAGTGCTTCAATCCACCTTCCCCCATCAGGAAACTGAGTCAAAGAAACTAAGGAGCTGCCCCATCCCAACCACATAGTAAAGGATGGATCCTGGGTTGGCATTCAAGTACAGTTCTAAACTAGGGGAAACTGATTCCAAGTGTGTTTCTGCCTTTATACTCTACACTGAATTGTCAATTATTTAAAACTCTCAAAAGATGGAAAAGGCTTAATTCTAATTTACCTAATAGGTAAAAATCAAACATGTGTGCTACTCTAGTTAAGATACTAATCTGTTAGAAAATATGACCAATCACTGTCAGATTTTAAACTATCTTGAGCCAATTCCAAGCTGTCATTCAATAGACAGATCTGCTTGGTCTGCATGCCACATGGGAGCACCTGAATGAGTTACAGAGAGGCCAATATATTGTCCCTTAAGCCCTGGGGAGACTCAGGGGAAATGGGGAGGCTAGGCCTCAGTAGGGCCTGCTGCCCGATGTATTTCCTCCAGTGTCCCATACCAGCATCCCCCTTTAGAAGTGTATTGCACCCAAGAACTAGTACACACTAGGACAAAGGGTGCTGATGCAGGAGATGATACAGGTGATTTTTAGCTAGGTATAAAACTTTGATCTCTGCCCCTCATCTCACTGTCTCATTTTAACTATTTACAGCCCTCAAACGAGTGGATTCTAGTGTATTTTATACTTGATTGGAAAGCAATTTTCTGGTACTACTAAGATACATGGGATCGGGTACCCAGAATGCATAGCTGTAGACAGCAGGGAGGTGTCATGGGCCTAGCCACACAGAAGGACACCTGTATACTGTCACGGTCATGTGTAGATAAGAAAATCAACCTAGAAAACAGTTTGTGTTCAATACTGTCACAGTTCTGTCAAGTGGAAAAAACTGAATACCTTAGAGATCGTGAACTCAGGCTGAGACCTGACACTAAGTGCAGGTTTTAGATGTAAAGGAAGAGAGCGATGTATGCCTCTGGATATGGTCAAGGATTGTTTAATAACTAAAAAATGCCCAGAAAAATCATGTTTGGAGTTCTCATTTCCATGCTCAGTGTATTTTAAATTGTACATTTGTTACGTGTTCTTTTTCAATTTGTTTTGAGAATTTCTTTAAATAAATATTTTTACTAAAACCACAGAACACTATATTACAAAGTATTCTTTACTAAATACAATTCATGAAAAATGTATTTTTGCATTTCCTTGAGAAACACTTGTGTTTTGATACATCTCCATTGAGCACTTTGATGCAAGAGAACACCTGATGCTTTGCAAAGCTGCTGGTGACTGGGTGTGACATTCTAGAAGGCATTGCAGGTAGACCCCCCCCCGGGGGGGGGGGGCACTGACCTGCTAGCTCTGCTGAGGCGCCAAGCAAGATCAAGTCCTGGTACACAGTGAAGCCACACTGCTCAAGCTGGCCACCAGGGGGAGGGCTCCTGCTCATCTGTTCATTTCTTCTGTTGGAACACAGCACACTCAGAGGACTTGGCTGCCGCAGCCTGGGGGGAAGGAGACGTAAGAGGAAAACAGACAAACATTTGTAAGTAAGGACAATGTTTTAGACGTGGATATCAGATGCTCAAAGAGACAGAAGAAATACAAGATTCCTTAGAGACTGCGCAGCGGACAGGGGAGTCTACACAGCCAAGCAGGAGCTGCCAGCCATCAGCTGCAGTCTTTTAAAATACGCTTTATTGGCAATCTTTTTGCATTGTAACAGAAGCAAAATAAAGTTTGTGTGACAGTTTTAATGATTAAAGGTAGGAATTCGACCTGGTTTTGATGAGTGGTTTTTAAGGGGGGTGGAATTTCTGTGTTAAACTTGGTGAAGAGGAGCCCTGAAGTGTTGGTCATTGTGATCTTTCGAAGACGTAAGAGGGGCAAAGGTTACAAGCTATGCCACACAAAGATAAACCTATAATGTGTTTACAATAAAATTTTGTGAACTTTGCTGTCAGTTTCTTAATGACTTTATTAATGTGCTTCTACTTTACACAAACACAGATTTCTAAATAAAGCTAGAGACCGGGCCACGGAGACCTGTTTATGTGACCTCTCTGGAGTCAGAAAGCTGTGCAGTCCCTGTTTAGATAGTCTTGTCATCTGTGCCTTACAGAAGGCTTCTCCCCGGTGGCCCAGGAGAGGGTGTTCACTCACTAAGGAAAGAGCCAGGAGATGAAAGGGCGTTGCCTGGCTACAGAGCCGGGGAACCTGGGAGGAGCCTCAAGGCACAGATCTGAACTCCCCACATGGCCCAATCAACTGGAGACTGTGCAGTTAGAAACTGCCTAAGGACCCTGAGGTAGGCCTGAGGGCGGAGTCCTGTCCCTCCCATGTCTCATTACCCAGAGAGCCTCACTAGTTCATTCTCTTTTTCCAATTTCTTATGGGAGAATTAATCTTCACCTTTTCTCTACTTCAGTTTTTCCTCTTACCTCTCTGGCCCACTCTGATGTATGCGTGTCCCCAATTGTTTCTAACTGCTTCCTCATACTTCAACTTGAATAAGTCTAGTTAAAGACTTACATTCTATTTAATTACCTATACTTTCCTCTGGAGTTCTCACTGTTTTCTTTGGGGGGGGGGGATTGTTTTGTTTTTGTTTGCTTTGTTTTGCCCCATGCATAGACATTTGTATGTAATATAAATAATGTTTCTTAACATTAATACTTTTTTTTTGGTTTTTTGAGACTGAGTTTCTCTATGTAACAACCTAGGCTGTCCTGGAATTCACTCTGTAGACCAGGCTGGCCTTGAGCTTATAGAGATTCGCCTGCCTCTGCCTCCCGAGTGCTAGGATTATGTATGGTGTGTGCCATCACTGCCCATTAGAAATAAAATTATTCTAACCTGCCTGTTTTGAATGCAAACCTATTCATATATCAACCTCTTTACCTTGAAAAGGGCCAGATTACAGAAATCTTTCACTCTAAAAAAGGTATGCTTTTCAACCCCATTATTTTCTTCTCTGATACAAAGGAATGTGCATTTATGATTGATGTATTTTTTTGCTAATATTACATTAGCTTGACATCCAATCGTGCACATAATGATTGCAGCTTTAGTGTCGAAACTAATATCTCTCTGACTAGGAAAATGAATTCAGTTTCTGCTGTTGTATAAGGGGTATACTATAAATTACTCCTTGCTGTAGGTAGGGCAACTTTGCAGTTTATGTACCTAAATTTAGACACCCTCTGAGATATGGGAGAGTTGACCTCGTATGAAATGGAGGTTTTGAAGTTATAGTGAGAATGTCCTTCATTCTGTGCATTCATTCATGAGAAAACACAACCCAGTGACAGACTCCAGAACATTAAAACTATGAAACATGGGTGGGGGAGATACTCACCCTCTTTTTCCTTTTTGTTTGAAATACACAAAGCAGAGCACTAACGATGTGTGATGGCATTTGACACTCTGTCCAGTTGAAGGGTACTGAATATGTTCATTCAATACTTAAAGTATTGTGAAAGCAAAGACAAAATATTGGCTAACTCAAGAAAGAGGGGTTCGGACCATAGTAATTGAGATAAGACTTGAATGTGCAAGATTCAGACCACAGACGGGAGGGATTGGCATTGATCATGAATTAGGGGCAGATTGAAAAACTCATTTGGTGTGACGTGGACATATGTATCCCTGGTCTGGGCCACATCTTGCAGTTACTACCCCACATGAATTTATCAAACTTAGCTCACCAGGCTAGCTAGATTATGGGAAGTTTTGAATGCCAACCTTGGGAATTCAGACTATAGGCAATTAAAGGAACATTTCAAAATTTCAAAGGTGAAAAATGCATAAGGGTAATGGTATTTTTGAAAAACCTATCCTTTGATGTTACCTACAATGGATGGGGGAGGGCGCAGGGGCCGGAAGTTCAGAACAGCTGTTCTAGTACTTCAGATGTGATGGCAACTCAAACAGGTGGCTTGAGACCAGAAAGGAATGGGTGATACATTGCTGAGAAAGCTTATTCTTTGTACGCTGGTTTTGTCTTCATGGAGTTTAGGTTAAGGCAAATCTCAAGGATCCATTTACTCACCTGTTGCCATTACTTTCCTGTGTATATTCAGCCTTTGTAACTTGTTCCAAAACCTACAGAGTGACATGAAAAAGACTTGACATTTCTATATTTTATGACATCCTCATGACTCGGGGGCAGGACATCCTTCTCATGACCATTTTTATTTATTTTGTATATACTGAAAAAGATTTCAAAAGTATGTGAAAAGTAGCAAACGCCATAAAGATAAAGCTTATGGGTCCAGTCGGGAAAAAGCCGGGTGCCCGTTCTGTGAGTTGCACTTTCTATTCATATGAGAGGTTTGCTCTCTAGTGTAACTGTGTGTCATTCATGTAATAAACCACATGACGGTGTTCTAGATAAGCATAACAGACTTTGCCCCATGCTGGTGACAAGCAGCAGAGACGTTGGACTCACTAGGAAGCAGACTCCAGGCTGGAGGATCCTGGGAAGGCAGTGTAGAGGTGAGGCTTTGGTAAATGTCTATTCTGTGAATACCGAGGGGAGGTCTTTCCATAGAATGTATGAACATCTCATTATATCAGTCACAGCTTTGGGGTAGCGACCTCTCAGAGGCCAGTTTCTAAGAAATTACATGTTCATTTCACTTGATAATTAAGAATGCTTCCTAAATCGTAAGTTGGAAATTAAGTTTTCTATTGTTTTTTTAACGTGTTATTTTGAATGAATCAATTTACTTACCTTTTCCCAGGCATTATGAAAGACTTCTACTTCGGAGTTACTATCATAGTTATAGATCTTTGCTTTCTGGAAACGGCAACAACCCCACCAAGAAAAAGCAGTATTTTTCACAATTCTGAGTACCACTGCGATGGGCATCTTCTGACAAACTGGTCTACAAGGCACATATCCCAGACAGCAGACACCGTGGATGTGAGCTCCCTTTTCTCTCGAGTCCTCTTCCAGTCTCACACGAGAAAAGAATGGCAAATAAAATGCCTGGACCTCAGTAACCACAGCATATCGAACATGACCCTCAGCGCTCTCGCTCCTTTACATGCTTTGGAACTACTAAACCTCAGCGACAACGCCATGCGCTCCCTCTGGCTGGATCTGCCCCTGCCTTGCCCCTCACAGCAAAAGCACCACAGCGGAGGTTGGCCCTGCAGTCTCCCCCATCTAAAGGTGCTGATCCTTCAAAGAAATCAACTCCGTGGCACTCCTAAAGGTGAGCACTTTTAATGAATGGATGAGACAGAGAAACAGTGCGTGGGAAGCTGGTGTTTGATGTCAACAAGAGCGCTGTATTTTGTTCAGTTTCAAGGGAGCAGCTGAAACCGCAAAGCGGTTTGACCGAGCAAATACAATAAAGGCGTTTCCTAATGGCACTGCCTGCCCAAGAGGAATTTACAATTAGTGCGGCTTAACCTCCCACTTGTACCACCCGAACTGATGTTGTGTGAGCTGGTCAAGAAACCCTAGGACTTAGCTAAGTGCTAGATAATAATCTCTGATGTATTTATGTTTGTCTGTTTTTGAGACAGGGTCTCACTGTGTAGCCCAGGCTGGCCTGGAACCCCCTATGTAGACCAGGCTGGACTCAAACAGACAGAGATCAACCTGCCTCCCAAGTGCTGGGATTAAACATGAGTGCCACCATGCCTAGCCAAGATATCTATTTTGTTTTTTATATATGTTTATTAATATGAGAAGGCGCTGAGAAAGAATGGATACAGGTATTTTTTAATATACAATATAATTCAAATTATACATGTTATCCTATTTACAATTTTTTTCTTTTTGGAATACATTTTGCCTTTTCAGTTGTCCTCCAAATGTAGACTAAGAATATTACAATATTCTATATTTGTTTGTATGTAAAACTTCCTACTGTGAAATCAAAATCAGAATCCCTTGCTGCAGCTTAAGCTGGGCCCTGGAGATGCGGCCTTCAGTTTTCTGGAACAGAGGAATTTCTGGCTCTGAGCCCCGAGGAGGGTAAGGAGGGTGTTTGCAAGGGTGCATGCAACAGCCTTAGGCTGACCCTCCTGCGCCCTTTCTAAGTCTTGCTCCACAGCTGGGGTAGAATTTTAGGTTCTATCAGGGCATCAGGATGTGTGTGTGTGTGTGTGTGTGTGTGTGTGTGTGTGTGTGTGTGTGTGTGAGAGAGAGAGGGGGGGGGGTGCAGAGAGACAGCGAGAGACCCCTTGCTGCTCAGAGAATATCCCTTCTCAGTCTTTCAGTTTGGAGGAAATGTCTTCCCCTTTGAGCTTCTTCAAAGCTCTTCGGGAAAAGCCCTGGGGATTCCTTCCTCTGAGGTTCAGGACTCCAAACCCCTCTGCCTCGGTTTTGCTGGGGACAGTAGCACAGGCCTGCTCTGTCCTAGAACAGAGGCAATGGGGACTCACAGGGTTAGCCAGTGACAATGCTGTCCCCGAGTGAAGAGAAATCCGACCCTCCCTCCCGAGGACAGATGTGTTTTCCAGAGGGCTTGCAGCTCTGCCTGATACCAATGAAATTTCAATTCAGGGCCAAAGGCTCAGTAGAGAGACAGGCTTCTTCCTCTCTGAGGTTAAATGTCTGCCTCCCAGAATGTAAGGGGGGGGGGGGGTGGTGAACATGCAGAGAAACGAAATGAGCCACTCCTGCATCTGGAATTCTGCTCGAACTCTGGCAAACGATGCTGTCAGGAGAGGAAGGATGCGAACACAGAAAGTCCCTGTAATCTGTGAATCTGATTGGGTAGCGAGGTCATTTTATCCAGTCCTTTTGTGATTTGAACTCACTACCTGTAGTCGGCGTACACTTGAAGTTTGCCCAGGTTGGATCCTCTCCAAAACCCCTTGCCGTTCTGTGAGGTTGACTATGGCAGGGTACACAACCTTAAATCCCATCTTGGAGGGAGGAGTCGGTGAGAGGTGCTCCTTGGGGCCTTGCCCTACTTCTGGGCTATCCTTCCCTCTTTAACT